GCAGGCAAGCTGGACCGTCTATGGCCAGCCAACTCACCCTTAGCCGATTTCTACTATTTATTCAGCCTGCAAAGGAGTCTGGTGGAGACTAGGGCCTCCATAGGTCAGCCATTGCAATGTACAAGATATTCTCGAAATGGCCTCGATAACACCCTTTTTAAACGTTGCAGTTTTGAATTACGTACCCTGCTGAATTGTGAGAATTAACGTTACAGATAGACGTAGACATTCTAACAAGCACTGATTATTCTTGCAATAACCTGTGTTCACGCATTCATTGTTTTCTGTATGCCGTATGGGAGGGCAACTTGTAAAGGTGCTTATTATGCACCTGTTTTGCCCTCCCTTTCACTTTGTGGAAAATTCAAATAAACAAATAAACAAATGTGATCACGCGAAGATTTTTTTAACTCAGATAGGGTAACATTAAGAAAAAACTTACAGATGATGTGCTTTAGATACGATTGTATACAGAATGTTAACGTACCGTTGTTGGGTGCACTGGTCAGAAAACCGCCTCAAAGACACGAAAAACCATGTACGGGTCAGCGTGGTTACTGAGAAAGTCCGGCAAAAGTCGTTCAACCACTTGGGGGGGGGGCGTTTCCATGGAGACTGCATACATAGTATACGTAGGTTGTTACGTCATACGTCAAGCTTTTCCTTCACCATACAGCTGAGCACAAACATGCTGTTTAACGTCAGCAGGATTATTATTCCGATGCCTTCCTGTCCTATGCAAATGAGGTTTAGACCCCAGGATTCGCAATGTATCCTGGGGATGGGAAACTCGCGAATGCTTTGCCCTTTTTTCCATCGCCTCGGGCTAGACCAATTGCAGTACTATTGGTTCAAAACAGGCCAATCAAATTGCCCGGCTTCATTACAACTGCCAATAAGGGGCAGCCTTGATTTAATTTGAGTTGATTTGATTTATTAGCGCTGTATAAGCCAGGACTGCCCAACCAGCTAACCTATTATAAAGAACAAGCCCTCACAATAGGATAACGAACAATTAGGAACAGGTAACAGTTAACAGTGTTGGTTACAAGTCAGAGTAACTAACTATTAGATAACAGATGTTGCGGCCTAACGTAAACAAGCTAATTTCTAAATATGTCTTTGCTTAATACCCTGCACTTGCTATCTATAATTGTAATATATTGTTTCCCATGAGTGATAATAACAATAAACTACACGGGCCTAGATAGTTATTGTAACATCTATTACATTCTATCTGTATATAACGTAACGTTGTAGTCACAACACGTACATTATCATATGGTTATATAACGTTATGGTGACTAAAATGCAACCATTTTCGCAAGCATGATCATTGGTCTATTTAACACACACATTACACCAAGCCCAATTAACATAAGGTACCAGTATCTACATTAGGGCTGCGGACCGGTACACTGTACCGGTCCAATACCGTAAAAATCGTTTCGGTACAGGTCCAAAATACCGGATCATGAAGTAACGAGTATATACCGAAATAGCTAGTTTACACCATGTATATGACTAAAGATAGGTAAATCCTACCACAAAGACGAAAAATTAGCACTGGAAAAGACGTAAACACCGTCGATTGATTTGAGATCCTCAGTCTCACGAGACATCGCGAGAGTGTGGCTGATCCAGGGTTGTGATTGGTCAACAAACTCAAATCAGGTCAGAGGTCAGTCATTTTCCCTTCCCTCCAACACTTTATTATTGTTTCTGTGTCATGATTGAAAAAGTGAAGAACACGTGTTAATTTGTCAAATTGTTCAGGTACAGGTACAGGTCCGGACCTGTACCTAAACCTCTGTACCAGTACCTGTACCTGTACCTGATGTTACGTTTAGGTACGCAGCCCTAATCTACATCTATTATAGCACATATTGTTTATGTATGGTGCTGGGCATTCTTATTACATTTTCTCCTTATCCCAGTTAAACAATGAATAGCGATCTTCAAGTATATATTAAGCAAATTCTTCTAGGTTTCTAGATTTAAAGATGTTTAAAATGTGAACGTCTGTAAAAGAATGTTAACAAGAAGCATTACTGTAACAATATTTAGAGTACGTGTATGAATCCTGTTAATTATCTTATGTTTATCTGCAATTATGGTTTATTCTCGGCGCTTCCCCAGACCGTCTTTCTTCTCCTCCAGAAAGGCAATAGTCCCTGCAGCTCCTTGCTGTAAACCACAATAAGAAAGTATAAGAAATTAGGTAGTTACAAAAGGAAACACAGTCAACATTCGCTTAGTAGCTTCATTGTACAGAGACAGCATTTAATAATATGATAATGAAGCAGCGTTTCAATTGTCTACAAATACTTATTACTTATTAAACGTTAAACACACACATATACGCACAACCACACACACACGCGCGCACACACACACACACACACACACATATCAGCTCACCCTCATGAGAAACTCCATGTCCTCAGTTGCCATGTCAAAATCCATGGTGCCCACGTAGCCCACATCTATGGCGATAGACCTGGGAACATCCTCATCCTGAGGAAAGAGAAGTAGAGGTTTCTAGCTTTGAGGACAAGTTCTACATGCGGTGCGAGACGTCACCGAAGTCTAAAATGATGCTAACATGTAACATGCAAAGTGTAATACATTCGCATTGGTGCAATGGTAAGTGAAATCTCAGAAAACACCAACAGCTATGTGCTTGGCCTTCCACAACCAGGGAATTCGACCTTGGCCCATATAAGTGCGGCTATTGTCCTGTCAGTCTGTGACCTTGGCCTTCCTGTTGTTTTATGGGTTATGGTCTATCACGGTTTATGGGTTATGGTCTATCACGGCTTTTACATGTATAATGGTGGTAGAAGAAGACTTCTCAATTCCTCCAGGAATGCCAACTGAATGCGACTTCATGCGCTCGCGGATGTAGTATGCGTACGTTTAGATAATTACTCTTCAGTGTGTTAAAATATAACAGTAATTGGACACATGTATATCGTATAGTCAACTTACAGTGATGCCGCTCTGCCTTCCCACGAATTCCAGCATGGTACCAAAATACTGGCGTGGTGTTGACACGAGCCTGTGCCCGAGGTATGCGCGCCTGGCGAGTTGCAAGGGACCGAAGTTCTTGTATATCTTCCTCAATCTGTCTGAAGTCAGCTGAAATAATACAGAACTCAGAATACCGCTAATTATAAATAACACTAATCACGAAATATCGGAGAGTTCAAACCTCCCTTATCCGGGAAGTATCCGGGGAGTTTTTGTGAATTCATTGGTAAAATTAAAGAGATGGTCTACGTACTAGTTTCAATTGGCGAAGACCAGAAACCCTGTGCTTTTTTTAGTGGTACGCTCCAAGGTTACCCATAACTATGTGAATGGACTCACTTCGCTCTGATCATTTAAACTGCCAACTTGACCTTACGGTGAATCTGCGGTTACAATATTCTCCACCTTCCTGCCACCCTATATACATTCAAATACTAACACTAACCAAATAATAATAACGTACTAATCTTCAAACTATACAACGACAACAAGACAACTCAATCAAATAAATACTAACTTACATTTTTTTCTTCATTAATCATCAGAAAATCGAACGCCTCCTCCTTTGAAGGTGCGCCCAGGAAAGCGAGGTCCTCTTCACTGAAAATCTGAAATTAAAGTTAGACGTAATTATTCACATGAATTTTATTATAAATAGATATTACGTCAGAGGTTGTGCCCACTGCGAAGTGAAATTATTATAGCCTGGTTACCAAACCTATTATAGCTCCCGAGTCCATCCTCTCTGCAAATTGCGGAGAGGATGTAGGACTCGGGAGCTATAATAGGTTTGGTAACCAGGCTAAAATTATTAGCTGTATACAGTCGATTTACTGGCCACGCCTAAGGGACTGTACGATATTTACCCGGGGGAGGGCCGGTGCGTAGTGGGGGGCATGGAAAAAAATGTTTTTTAACGCTATAATTGCAGGATTTCAATTTAACCCAACTGAAGCGAAATGTTCACTTTTCTTCTAAAACGTCAACGACTGCGCAAACAAATTGGGCTGCATCATAACTATACCTCGTTGAAGAGCTGCTTTGCTTCCTCTTTAGATATGACCGGTAGATCCGGTCGCCGTTTTATGACTAAGGCTTCTGTTACTGCAGTAAAAGAAACCTGAAAAAGGAATTTGAGTATGGATAAATGTAGACCTTTCTTGCAAAGCTCTTGTCACACTGGGCTAAATACAAGTCACAACAAAACGTGTGCAACGTTAATGAAAACAAGATACAATGTCAATGGCTGATATAACACGAATGGAATATTTGTTTAGAATTAGGACATGGGCGCTGATTGTTCAAACCTGATGGGAACGGTATGGGTAATCCAATCAGCTTATACGTTATAACGTGACGTAATCACTAGATGCATTGAATGTGAGAGTCCAGTCTTTTTGGCAGGGAAGCAACCGAGATAGCATACTAAATATAAAACGCTGGCATACAAGGTACCCACGTCGTTTGTAAAATGCTCCCGATCGATATTATACTTCTTATAGGGTTCAATACTTTGTCCATCAGTCCCCTCGATCATTCGCTTGACATCCTGGCCGACCAGTACCTCAACTTTTTCATAGCTCGCGATTTGTTCTTTTTTGCTCTTTTCCGTCTTTTCCTTGTAATCCCTGTGCAAAGTTTGGTACCAGAAGAACAAAGAAAGTTAGTATTTATTTAGATCTCGTGTGTTTTCCACATAGCCCAGCATCAGATAATATGCTTTTACCATGTAGTCAAAATGTATAGATAATGGGAATTGTAGGCCATGGTAGTTGATGTTTTGAAGAATATGCTTTAGAAATTTCGTAGTGGAACACAAGCAGACAGTCTTGCTAATGTAAACGAGTAAAAGCCAAGAATTCTATCGATACCAGACCCAAATGTATTAGGTTCCTTTTCAAATAATGTACACAGCTTACTTGTATAGCTCCGTGTCGTATTCCGGTTTGATCTCCGCCGGTTTGAACTCTTCCTGGCGCTTCTCAAACTGTTCCTGGTACATTTCACGGTCCTCGCTAGAAAACTGCAAAAAGTTATTATTAAAAATATTAAAAAAAATTTAGTCGTGACATCACTTTTTAAACGTGCATTTGTAGGAAATCTGATGAATGTATTACAGACTGAAAAAGATTGAAGCCATCATAAAAAAAATTGAAGCCATCATAACATAACAATAGTGCATGTGCTGACAGCAATTTCACGTGTTGACAACAATAGTACATGACTTATGTTGACAGCATTTTTACATGTGTTGACAGCAAATGTACATGTGTTGACAGCAACTATACACGTGTTGACAGCAATATAGCTTCACTACAATAAGCATTGAATGAGATAAGTGTAGTAAGTCAGTGTAATGGAGACTGACAACTGCGCAGAATAGACAGGAGATGGTATCGTTCCTTTACAATTAATAAGGTTCAAATACAATTACGTACTACCACAATACAGTATTTAATTGCAACCAATTTGCATATATAGCGGTCTTACACAACATAACCTTTTCTAATTGCCCCGTTGATTGTGAATTCCACAGTATCAAATATGGCGTTTGCACTCACGTGACTAAGACGTAGGGATTTGTCACCATGATAGACGGTTAAAGGCCAGGTAATTTCTGGTACATGGTTTGTATATATAAAGCGTAATAATACACGCGTAATTATGACACAAGTACTGTCCACAAACACATTATACAAAAACAGTCTTAAACTCTTTCTACGAGTTTAACCAACCATAATGGGTACTGTAATGTACGTCAGTTGCAAGCACAACCTCAATGTTATAGTTTGCCTGTACGAAATTCGAAAGACCAAACATGAATCCTACCAGCAGAATGCCGAGTGTCTTGTCGTTCCTGGTGCCGAACCGCTCCCTCCTGTACTCGGGGTGGAACATCTGGCGAACCGTCTGTCCAGCGTCCAGCGTCGACATCAGTCTCTCTTGGAAAAAGTCTTCCTCTTTCATGGACAGGTACCATCCTACAGGAAATGTAAATGTTGTATTTCGACTAATTGAGGAATATAAATTTGTACGTGCTCTCATCATGAGATTGAAAACAAGATTTTGAAACAGTTGTCACAATCTCCTGATCTAACGACTTATTAGCAGTCGTGTTTCACGACTCTTGGTAATGTCTTTAAGGCAATTAGTGGAAGTGCGCCGGTGTACATGGCCTCTCTGTTCAAGTGGGAGACTCATCCAACATTAAGTATGTGGACTACTCGATCAGAGTTAAAGCGTCTTGGGGACTACCACCCTCACCTACTCTTCTGTCCACCAGCAAGAGTCACTACATACCGGAGCAGTCTGCAGTACTATGGACCTTACCTGTGGAACACTCTTCCGCTACAGCAACGACAGCTCCTTACTCTCAGGAATTTTAGACAGGACTTGATTTAGTTGATGATAAGTATATTGTATTTTCCTAATTGTTTATGTACTGTGTATTTGTTGTATGTATTTTATGTGTATCCAGGATTACCTGAAAAACAGGCCAAAATGGCCTGAACTGTAATTACTGGTAAAACAAATAAACTGAAACTGAAACAGCACGTACCGTCAAATGCCCAGAGAGGATAGTTAGCGGCCAGCCCACCGTCAATGAAAGTATAGGGAGATCCCGGAATCCCAAACGGTTTGAAGACACCTGAAAGTGTCAAAAGAAAGTGATATTCTGTATTGTGTGTGTTGAACATGGAAATAAAGAGAGAGACAATTATCACTGATTCATTGTTCAGAACCTGTACCTTGAAAACGAAGCAAAAATGTTGGAGAAAATTTCTTAAATGACCCAATGTTATTACCAGGACTGGCAATTTGTTGTTGTCGGTCAAAGATAGGACAAAAGATAGGACAAAAGATCAAATACAATATTTGACAGATGGGTAGGGGTTGATGGTTCTAGGCTCCGGATGATTAAGTTTAAAATATGTACTTTACAAGATGTTTTCCAGTTAAAGTAAAAATCTAGATTGCTATCCAAGTATACTAACTGCCGAGCCCCTTTCGTTCTGTACGCTATCTGCTAACAGAACAAAGATACTCGGCAGCTATAATTGATTTTGATACCGGGCTTGGAAAAAATCCACCGCAGATACAAGAACATGTAAGATATCAAGACCATGAGATTATATTACACCCTGTTACATGAATATGCAATAATCTATTAAATATAGCACACTCAGTCTGGTTTAGTAAATACTTAGATACATTTATAGATGACATAGTCTAAGATACATTTATAGATGACATAGTCTAACCTGGAATGGACATGGACATGCGCACTGCCTCCTTGATCTTCATCATAGGCGTGGTTTTGACATGAAAATAAATTTCATTGCCCAAAACCATGTTGTAAGCCACGATGCACAGCTCCTTCCCCAACACGTGGTAGAGCTAGGAAAATACGCGTTGATGATGAGTGTCGTATAGAAGATTTGTATTATGCTACTGGCATGTGGAAGTCGTACTTATTCATCCATTTACAAGATATTGAATGACAAATGTATATAAATGAGTATATAAATGATTGCTTCAACCTTCGAACGCCTAGCTATATGTATGCAACTGTACATCCTCTTGTGCATGTCTGTGGCCTTTTGAAAAGCAGCGGGAAAATACATGGAATCAGCGAGAAATTCAGGATAATTAATAAAACATGCAAAAAATTCACAAGATATTTCACGGAGGTATATGAGACCGCCGACTTATAATTATTTCTTATCATGGTGCTCTCTACCGTGTCGAACGTGATGTCCTTGTCCAGTCCTTTCTTAAACGGATGAAGTCGCGCGAGGTGCCGGTCTAAGATGTCTCCGAACCAGTCCAGAAACTCATCCCCTTCACACGCGCCTCTGTCCGTCATTGCTGATAGGGCCATGGAGATGTTTTTCATGGTTAGCCAACTGGGCAAGATGAATAGGATGCGGGGTAGCTTGCTCAGGCCACTGAGCAAACCTACTGGCGGATCTGTGGAAACAAACACAAAATGAATATTTGATTGTCTGTTCTGGTTTGGTTTCCCTTTGATGCGCACGATCATGGTAATGGTGGGCAGTGGAGTCAGAGGTCACAGAGGAAGATGGCTGCCATGTAGAAGAGCTCTGCCCAAAAAGGATTTACCATCCTTTGGAATTCTTGAGGGCAGTGGCTCCGGGCAGCCTGAATCCATGTTTTCTTTTGTTAGGTAGGGTTTACAGTACCCTTTTGTTTCTTTTTTGTTTATTTTGTTAGATAGGGAGCCCACTAACCCATTGTTCACGTGACCCTTCCAGAGCACTCGAGTCCATCATCATGCGGAAGAGCAAACTTTAAAGTCAATAGTTCCAGAACCCAGATCCAGCAAGACTATAATTGTTTTGTGTTGTGGATATTCTAACCTCCTCACAAAGACTCATTAAGAGAAGACAGTGTCTACGTAAGGCAATTACTAACCTAAGAGGTCCATCAGGTTTCTCTGACTGAGCTCCTCCAGCATCTCTTCTGGTTTCATCCCGATTGCCAGCATGGTGGCAGTGATTGCGCCTGCGCTGGTTCCAGCAAACCGCTTGATGTTGGGCAAAATTCGTGCCTCATCCAGGACCTATAGTTATGAGTTCAGAGATGTAATTGGTTAAAATCTATACTCAGTTCATAATCATAAGGCTTAGCATAAGTAGTCGGCAGTGCAAGGCTTAGCTGGAAATGTGTGTAAAGACATGTGGGCACTTTGAACTCGAAAAGATCAGCGCTAGGTGATCGTGAACAGATGTATAGGTATGCAAAATATGACACATTGAGTAGCTGTACCTTACATTTTCGTCTTAGAAGAATGAAAGGCTAGAAATAGAAAAAAGCTTTTTGAGTAGGTCATTTTTGGTATTGATTTTGATACTTCTGCTGTCGCTTGTGATAACGCCTATCTTTGTAACGACATGTACTTTGTTTTCAAATGTTACACATGATGGTCAACCCATATGCAATGAACTCAAACTTCTCTCCATTTCCAGAAGTTCGTTTCATATCTTTACCTTTGCTGCTCCGATGTAGGCAATTCCTTTGGCTCCTCCTCCCTTCAGTACCAGATTCTCAAAAGAGTCTTTCATGCAGGAGTAGTCGCGTCCATTGGTCCTGGGAAGCCGAGGCTTGGCTTTCTCAGGAGACCACCATCGCCTCACACTTGAAATTTTTTCACCTACCCACTTTTTCACGTACGACATCTTTCAAACCTGTGAAAAGTCAAAAGTTTGTCACTTGTAAAATTCGCTACGATATAACGTACATTTACTTCAGACTGACAGGGAGGGGTGCATGAGCTAGGAGGGCAGGCAGGCAGGCCTCCAGTCTGGCTCAAACAAACTTAACACCGGGAGTAATGACTATACTGAGCCGGGCAGGGCGTTCCATTGAGGAACGATGCATGGAAAAATGTCATGTGTCTGTTCGGGCCATGATTGTTTGATATTTGAACTCCCCTTGTGCGCCCCTGGGCCTTTTAAAGTAATGTGCCAGTTTGATGATGATTGTTGTGAACCCACTGTATACCATTTGTCCATTAGGCCATGTTGATTTGATTATATGGATGACATCCTCTGGGAACCCCAAAACTGATGCGCGCGTGCGAATAAAAAAAAAGTTTTGCAAAAATAAAAAGTTGCTTTCACTATGAAATCTACGTGGTCATGAAGGTTGAACAAATGGCACAGAATATGTTATGGCGAATAATCTACTCTTCGAATTCATTTCTTTACATTTTTGTCTTTTTTCCTTTGATTTTGGCATCCTACGACATTGGTATCGTTTCTTAATGTTTTCCTTGCAACTTATGGTATATTTTTTGCTCATTTAGCAACTGTTTTGCACGATTTACAGTATGGTTGAAAACTTTTTTTTTTTTGGAAACGGCCGAAAATTCATGCGTGCGCGGATGTCATCCATATAATCAAATCAACATGGCCTTACCACACAAGAATGCACCCTATTTTAGAAGTAGTGCAGTCCTGTTAACTCCCCTCCTCCTATCTGACAGTAGAATAGTCCAACCCAGGAACCTCACTCTGGAGTTAGAGTCCTGGAGGAAACACAATAAACCACGATGCTCCACAAAAGTCCTGTGTGTCAGGCTCTGTGTGTTGCAGAAGAACTTGCAGCTCTGATCTTCAAGCAGATCCTATGGTGGAGATGCAATATCCAATCGGCCAAGCTGCTGCAGTGTCCATTAGCCAATGGCGACTGCCAATTTGGATTGCCTTGCCAAGGTAAAATCTGCCTGGAGTTTATGTATAATCAGTTGTAGACTAACTCATAAATGTAGTGAGGCGGGCGTTTCAGAGAGAATCGACCTCTTCGGGTCATTGAGCCTTGATTGATCAAAGCCTTCACCCATGAATGGTACGAACAAAGCAGCTTGGCTAGTAGATCCTACACGTACATACCTCTGGAGTCAATAGCCTCGGTTGTTTCAGATACACTTTTACTTACGTCTGACATGATTCTAGAGGTCAAACTTAACACTCGCGAATACAACGGACAAATTCACTACTGTAAGAATTCAAACTACCCCAAAATGATGGCAAGAAGAACATTGAATATGACGTAAACCATCCATCCATTCATTCTATCAGTTGTACCAAGAATGAAACGTACAACGCAGGTCCATTGTCGTATTTCAGCGCCTAAGGCATGTTGAAGAACCAGCTAGACAAGACCAGGGATCCACCAAAGCGTGAGGTAGCATTGGCAAAACAAATCTTTTACATGCAGCGGTAAACCTATCCTGTGAAGTTCTGTCATATCTTTGAATGTTGAGCACTGCCTGTACTTAGCTACATGCACTTCTTCTGGTGTAATCATAGCGTCCTGTGATATAGGGTTCAAAATGGTACAAGTAGCCTTGGCCTTGTTATAAGCCGTCACCTAGATTTCTAGAAAAACGGGGTCTAATTCTGTAAGGTAAGCTCACGTCTTCTCCATTTCACAATTAGCAAAAAAGAGCATATGGTGATCGAAATTGCGTCTCGTAATCAGCAAAATACATGGTCAAAACTTACACTGTCTGTTACTCGCCGAAAATGAGACGATTCATATCACGTATTAAGCGGGAGTCACGTCAAATCGTTCTCACTGTTTTAGTGACACAGTCTTACAGAACACAACATGGGCAAGTATCAGAGAGGATCTTACTGTGATGAAGTGCTTCTTCTGACACAAATTCCCGAATACCAGACGGCGCCTGTTCCTCTAGACGATGTGCCCCACACGCACAACTTGGTGCAAAGTGTTTTAATTCGTACCCGTCCACGCCCTTAAACCGATATATCTTTCACGTGATAGCCTCGAGCGTCAGTCACATGGGAGGAGCTTGTGACGAAATTTGAATGGTAGGTTACTTGGTAGCTCTTCTGCTGGGGAAGAATTTTTAAGTTTAATTAAATCAAGCCACTGCATTTATAGATGGCAAAACTGTAAAAACTAGGAAGCAAAGGAATTTCCTCGACTGTTGGGGCCGAAATATGAGCATTTGTTTTAGTTTACTCAGAACCAGAATTTTATTTTGGCAAATCAAAAAAATGAAGACTCTGGTCTTCCTCATTAGACTGACCCAGTGAGGCTTGTCACGTGGCTTCTTTGAAGTGTGACGTCAACACTGGGTCAGTCTACTGAGGAATACCAGAGTGACTGGTCGAAAGCTCTAGGTGAGAGAACTTTTTATGTTGGATCGAAAGTTTGAACTTTAAACATGTAACTACCAACACAGATAAACTTTCATTATAACATCAACTTTATTGCTCAACAACTGCAACTGGTACAATGTATTAATCTCCAAGCAGATCATACGGTGGTAAGGCAGCATTGGCCAATGAAGGCAGAGAATAAACAACAAGGGTAGATACACGAAGTTTGGTAAAATACAATTCTAACAGTTTATCCATAGCTATACTACTAACCTTAGTCAGTTTCAATGCTACCAATCTTTATCTAGGGGAGTATTATATTTACATACGGTGTCGTTTTTGTAGCGAATCGGATATGAATTAAATTCACCTACTATGGTACACTAATACCTGAGCAGGGCTTGGCAGGAGCATATTGAAGATATCTGGTTTTGAATGGGGTAATGTAAAATTAGTTTTGAAAGCAATGGAATGCATCAACTTTTGTCGTTTTGTTCTGTTCATATGTTGGACACGACATCAGAGTGGGATTCATCTTCAATATCCTCCTTGCCGCAGTGTGTTCACTCAAAACAGCACCACACTGACATTCAGTTTTACTTTAATATAACAAACAGGAATTTCCCAGAGACAAACTTGGTACAAGCCCCGGCACCGCGTCAAGGTGTTGCCTCCATTGCCGAGGTAAATTTGGACGCCATCCTGACAACAACCACTCACAGTCCCGACAAAATTACAACAACCACTCACAGTCCCGACAAAGTTACAACAACCACTTACAGTCTCGACAAAATTACAACAACCACTCACAGTCCCGACAAAAGTACAACGACCACTCACAGTCCCGACAAAGTTACAACATAGCAGCAAAGTTTAAAGAGTTTCACTCAGCTCAGAGCAGTTTGTAAGAAAGAATAAATGTTAAAAGAATGTTTTATTGTGAAAGTGAACAGCCAGAATTGAAGAAGGCAACGTTATTTGTGCCCTGTCTTGCTAAATTTTCTTTTAAAGTTTTCCTTCCTGCCTATCTAATTTTTTTTATTTATTTCTATTTGGTTAAGTCATACTCTGTCTACATTTTGTTTTATTTGTTATTAATTTATTTGTTATTCATCTAGGCTGTCTATTTGTAGTCGTATTAAGCCTCATTCTTCCTTAGCTGTTCACAATCTTTTCAAACCAAATTGTATTTTTCTCTACGGCAATGCGAGCTGAATGTACTCCATACGAAATTTGAGAAAAAGACAAAATTACCGAGACTGTAAATAGTAATGTCAGCATGAGCGTCGGTTTGCCAAAAATTGTGTGCAGATTTCCCATGGCTAGAAGCAAGTGACTAGGACCAAAATCATTTCAACATACAGTCCGAGTCCGTCTACTACCCTGCCCAACATATATACTGTCCTTGTCAACAAAACCACCGTCAGAATACACTATATATGATATGAACAAACAGTATCATTCAAACAGTATCATTTGTATCATCCTAGGGCCACACCAGTTTAATTTGTTGGTTCTAGGATTCGCCTCTTCATTTTTTTTCTGATTTGCCAAAAAAAAAATGAAGATTGTGGTTCTGAATCACCTCACAAATGCTTATATTTTGCCACAAACAGTCGAGGAAAGCAATCCGAGAAGCAACAAATTAAATTGGTGTGGCCTAGACATTCAAAGGAAAATCGTTTCCTGGTGAATCTGTTGGATTCGTCCTCTGGAACGTTGGTTTCTGTAACCTGCATGGGACAGAGAAACACAGGACATTCCAAAACATAACTCAAATCGCCCCCTACATACTTGTTGGTCACCAACGAAATGATCATACACTTCAAACACCCAATAAATGAACAAATAGACAAAGCAGCCCCATTTTACAAATTACTCAATCGCACAGCTCCCTTACTTGTTAGTCACCAACGAGATGATGGTCAAGTCAAGTCAAAGTTTATTGCACAACGATTGGATCAGGTACAATATATGGCAGATAATAAGATTACTAGCTGGGATGGGTCTATCAAGATTCTACATATATAGGTTCAATGGGTATCATGTCTGGCAAAATGTTGAATGTACTAAAAGCTAGCTAGTACACCTCTACACCAATGTTCTAAGCTACGCTATACTATATATAATACGCCTTGTGTCAAAGACCCAATGAATGTACAAATACCCGCTCCCCCATTGTCCCCCAGTACTAACCTGCACAGACGCTGGCTCCTACTAGCCTTCGGAGCTGCGGTCACCAGTTTTACTTCCTCCGCCAGTCTGTCACCAAATAAACTCACCATGTCGCCACAGCTACGCCCTCACAGTTTGTGACACGGAACTGTATTGTCAGAAAGGAAAAGAAGCTTAAGGCGAAAGCGTACGTTGACTAATGCTATGAAGAATCCGGCGACATACAACTATTTACAGTTGCACGAGCACCTCTTCCATCCACCCACCCACCCATCCATCCATCCAACCAACCAACCAACCAACCAACCAACCAACCAACCAACCAACCAACCAACCAACCAACCAACCAACCAACCAACCAACCGCATCATCCAAGCGACAACACATTAAACATGCAGCGACAGACAGAAGTCAGTCAAAAAATTACAAGAAAAATTGAAACTCCAAAACTTCTTTCCTATCTGCGCGCACGACTAATTCTCTTGCGTAATCTGTACCATCTAAGGCACAGAATCAAATCATTCAAAGGGGTATGGCGGTTTTGGTGAATTCTGTGCTCAATAGCAACCGTCCTCTGGAAAGTCGATGTATGTAGCCTCATCGATCACCTGCATTTGACAAACAAACAGAACACAAAGCAAACAAAAAATATGACAGGCAATCATCAATCAGAAAGACAAGAAAGTGCAATAAAATAAACTACGAAACACGTCCATCAGTTTGGTAAACATAGGATGCTGGGATATTTTTCTTTTACACAACTGAACACAATATCAGAAATATTCAGACTAGAATCATAGATACATGTCTTTCAATCACTCCAAAAAAACAGTCTAAATCAACCGTCATACAATATATCATGGAAATACAATCTACATAACATTTACGTATAAATATCTATAGAAATGCCGGTTCCACTGTCCGTCTGTGTCTTGTGTAGTATTGGTTGACTCGTCGAACTTTGGCGCGGGGTTGACTTTTTTGACAGGGGTGTTTCATCCCCCCTGGATTTTTTGACTAGGGTTTACTCCCTAGGACTTCTGTGCAGGGGTGTCTTCCCTGGGTGTCTGTGCAGGGTTTTCCTTCCCTGTATTCTTGTACTTATAACGTAAACACCAAGCTATTTATGTATTACTAACTTCATGCCAATATAAAAAGTACGAGTGTATTCAGCAAACTCATGGTTATATACTTATTGATATCACATAAATGATAAACAGGCCACACAAAAAGTCTAACAGAACAGCTGAATAACAAAAACAAATCAACTTCACAGAATCTACATCTTTGTACATATGTTAAACTTGAAAGCGTTCATAATACTGCAAAAAAAATCAGACTAAAAAGATCACAACATAGAACACACTATGAACCTCAAACATTGCACAACTTGCAAATATATACATACATGGGCATCACAAAATCTGAGCTCAAACATTAGCAAAACCAAAAGTAACAATTTAAATATGTCTACGTCCATACATATTGTATATGTTTATCATAGAAGCATACATGGAAATTGCAAATTCTCAAACAGATCGACACACAAAATCGCCGCGCCGCGCGCCTGCGAAGCTGGGTTACGCCAAAGCGTGGCTTTACCGGCTATTCAGACACAGACACAAAAAATAAAAAAGGAGCCGCATTTTACGAATTATTCAAGCGCCCCTCCCTTACTTGTTAAGTCGCGAACAAAATGATACCACGCCTTGAGTCAAAAGACCCAATAATTTACTAATAGCAGCCCCAGTACTAACTTGTACAGTCAACTTGCTTCTGCTGGTCTTCACTAGCGGAGCTGTGGTCACCAGAGTTCCCCCGACCAGTCACGAAACTACATCCTCTCAGTTGGTGGAACTGTGTCGTTAGAAAAGGAAAGAAAAGAAAAACAAGCGCAGGTTATAATTAATGCAAGATATGCTGTGCAAAATCACCTTGGTTCACCCATGCACATCCAGGAAACATTCAACTAGGTCCAATCCTGTACAAGACAAACTACAGCATGTGCTTAACACAAGGAACAACATATTCATCCATTAATTTATTCATTCATTCACTCGTTCATTCATAGTTTCCATACAGTCTGGTCAGAGCTGCGGTGGCTGCTTCCGTCAACTTCTCGGTGATAAAGAAGACGTCTTCGCGTTGAAGACACTTCGAATTCAGTCTCCAGGTATACGCTGTAACTGTAATGTTGGACAAAAAGAAAAACACGTTAACAATAAGTATAAGATGCGATTCTAAACATTGCTGTCCGTACCCTGTACTGGGTAGACAAACTAGAACATGTACAATACATTAGGAACATTACACAGAATCCATATAATATGTTTGAAAACAGTCACATGTCAAAACTTTTTTACTTGTGCGTGCGTGAATGCGAAGAAAAGAACACTCAACCAAATAAACATCGTATATAGGACACTTTATTTAGATTACTTACTTACTTACTACACATTTCAATCATCGAACATTTCTTCACATATTTTAAAGACATTTTAAATTTCAATGAAATATGCAAAATAGTTTTGAACTTTTGCATACCTCTTACATTCAGGCACTTTATACACGTTTCAAGCATCAGAATATTATATATTTTAGAGACGTTTTGAAGTGCATGTGTGCGCGTGTGTGCGAAGATACAGGCTATAGAAAGTTACGATATAGTCAAGGGGAGGGGCGCTAGCTGTAGGGGAAACTACCTAAAACTTACCCCATAAGACACCCAGGGGGTTCGGTACGAGCCTAACAAATTAACGATCTTTTAAACGTTTTGGATAATCATTTTAAGAATGGATTTTAAACTCGTTTTTATTGGTCATTTGGTATCAAATATACATTATTTACAAACTTGATATTTTATTAGGATATCCATTAGTTGCACAAACTAATACTAACACGTATCACCCAAACTACCCACCTTTCCCGAATGGGGCAATATAAAAGCAAAAGGCATGAGTTGGACCTAACCCCATAAGAACTACACAAGCGGGGACAGACCCCCCATTTTTTTCATGAGAAAGAAAAATCGTTAGTACACTGTAATGGGAACTATGTAAGTACGATAAAATGCTCTATTATAATAATAATCCATAGAATTCAAGAGCGGGTCTTTTGAATTCCATGGATTTTAGTGGTGTCAATTCACATGTGTTATCATACTACCATAAAGAGCCCAAGAGCATGGGAGCGATCTTACTAAGATGGCTCCCATGCTAGAGCACAAGGATTACAATAAATTCAACAGTGTTTGTGTACGTGTGTGCAAGTGGTTGCAGAAAGAATGACACAGTTGATGCAGTGTAAGTTTTTTGTTGTGGTCAAACCGCGCCGCGCTGCATGTGGGCATCAATGACACTTGGGTCCTCGCGAATTACTTTCATAAAACGGGTTAAAACTATACAACGTTTACATCTATACCACGCACGCTTTACAACTATAACAACGTCGCGAGATGCCCCTTTTCGTTGCTAAGCCAGTAAACTTACTTAGCAACGAAAAGATATTGATGTGAACCTTTCTGAAAAAGATTCACATCCGCGCGCTGCAAGCAACATAGAGGCATAAACCACAGCAATAGAATTATCACAATATCAACATACAAATTAATACAAAACAACCAAGCCATGTGAAATAACACCACTAAACCTAGACTAAGCATGACAATATCTTGCGAGGAATTTTGTGTAGAACTCACAAAATTCCTGACATATCTTCAACACATGGTCATATAACAAATCAAGAAACAGGGTCTTTTGCGCGACCAGCTTTCGCGCAACGTGCACGCTACACTGCGTTTCGAGTCTCAAAATGAATTACGAACGTTAGCGCACGAATTACATGTACACATGAAAGCGCACGAGTTAATACTATACAGCGGCCGGGTCTCCCAAGTTCCCACCGCCAGCTTGAGCGCAAGCTGACAGCGTGTTTCGAGCCTCAAAATCTCAGGAATCCACGAATTACAGTTATACAACGCCAACGCACGAATTACATGTTTACATGAAAGCGCACGAGTTAGTGTTATAAAACGCAGGGGCCTTTTTGCGCTGCCATGAGGGGAGAATATGAGAAACCACTTACCTTCACGTCACTTACCTTGAACACATCCTGGCTTGTACTAACGCTTGGCTGCTGTTCACCAACAGAGCTGATTTTGGACTGTACTATTTGTTTCTACAGGTAATTGCTTACCTCACACTAAAAAAAAATGAGGTTTGTTTTAATCGCCCAGACTATGCAAGGGACGTTAGGGTCACTTTCCTGCAACTTTGCAATTTTGCATTCTTTGGTACATACATATCATTTTATGACAACCCTATAATTATTCTTTGGTACAAAAAAGTAATGAGAAATCTCTCCCCCGTTTAGATGGAAACAATGGTTTCATCCAACATTTTCGAACGTGTTTTCCACCTGTTCGATATGCAAATGTCCCAACCGGCTGTGTACAACATTTGACCAACCAGAGGTAATATGGATGAACGAATAGAATCTTTATTCATTCGTAGTTAAGAAGCCCAACCCAAAGCCAGTTCAGTACATATACAATGTAACACTTTTCAGACGCTGGCACACTAATAGAAATACTCACCTCCTTGGTATGTAGATTGTTGGACAATTTATTGATCAATATCAGTTGGCAACTGTCAAGCAACAGTCGACAACAATGCCTTGTTGGCGGTTAATCCCCAAGCAGATATTTTGGTGGCTGCAAAGACCGAGTCAAATTGGCCAATGGATACCGTCTGGCCAATGCATATGGATAACGTTATAGCCTGGTCAAATTGATTCTGTCTTCAAAGCTGACAGGTTTTATGACCTAATACTGCTGTACAGAAATCGAGTAAAAGTTAGCTAGTAAAACTATTTTCAACCAAACACCCCTGCGCTTGCTTATATTGGTATAATCTACCCGCCATGAATGGGCGTGCTATTCCGGTAGAGGGCGTGCGTGTACCGTATGTAGAAGGAACACTTCGCGTTATACTAGTACTATGATTCAGTAAAGCTAACACATCGTGACCCGCCTGTGGTGACCAACGCCTCTGCTCGCGACATCCCCTACTCCATCGACTTTTTGTCCCATGTGCCATAGTGTAACTATACTGCAGCTCAGCGAGCACAATAACTTTAATATTATACGTCAAAGCCTGGATGTTAGTACTTAACCATTTTTCTTCTTCACTAGTTGCACACCAGAACTACATTATCCTTTTTAATGTCATATGTTACTTGTAGCACCCGACCCTAGTTCTAGTGTACTAAAGACTATCAAACATTACAAGAAAGGCAGAGATGAACTTTGGTATGCTTAAAGATTGTACACAAATTAACCGAATAAGTTTGAAACTGACTAATGATGTAAAATAATTCTAAAAATGTAGTTACCACAGATTGCTTCACTGTGTTTTTTTTTTTAATTCAATGCGCTCAGGTTGCGTTAAAAGAAACAATTCTAATATATGTGTATCTGGAAAGCACGGGGATAAAGTTTCAACACATATAACTTTGAACACAAAATCTGCATGTTGTACTTTCCAAATGTTACAGCTCTGTCACTGAGTAATAAAATTGCACAATCACTGAGTCTACAGCTGTTATTTATTGTGGAGGGTGGAAGTCCAAACAATACTTGTACACTGTACTTAATTACACAGATAGTGTTGAATTTATAGCTTTTCAATCATACTAAAGTGCTGTCCTGTTGTATGCTTTAGGGACATACACATGTAAGTGACAAACCACACTTGAAAAGTAACAAATGTACTCCTATTAAATTTGATTTTGAAGTATGTTGGATGGCGGATTTTAACAGTAATAATGCTATTTACATACTTACTAACAAAGAAAAGATTTCAAAATACTACAAATATTACTTATTTCATATTAATTTTGTGCCTTGACAAATTATGCCCAATCAAAAGATATCTTTGATATGTCTTATATGAACATAGGTCACAGGAGAATATTGGTCCCCCCTTGTGTTCAGCTTGGTGTGTTTTCAGCCCACACTTGGTGTGAGACGCGAAATCACAGAGCGTACACTTGTGAATTTTCTTCTTGTCGTGCCGCTTCAAGTGTCGTGTTAGATCGCTCTTTTCCTGTGCCGTGAATGGACACTTATCGCAAGCGAACGGCTTGATTCTGTTCTCGGTATGCTTGGATGTAATGTGCCTTCTGACAGCCTTTTTCTCGGTTGCAGCATAATCACAGTGGGGACATTTGAAACGTTTTACATCAGAGTGCGTTGCCGCGTGCCTGTTCAGGTTACCAATTGTAGCAGACCTGAAGCCGCATACTTCGCACACGAAGTTGAAAACGCCATGTTTCGAGCCCATGTGACAAAGTAAGCTGACCTTGGCGGCAGTCGCATAATCGCACTGTGTACACTTGTACGGTTTCTCCTCCCTGTGACGAGGCCGATTCTTTATCGGCACACTACTGCTGCTTGTTCCTGCATGCCGTACCAAATTATGTCTAGTCAAAAGATGCTGTTGATATGTCTTATATGAACAAAGGTCACAGGAGAATATTGGTCCCCCCTTGTGTTCAGCTTGGTGTGTTTTCAACCCACACTTGGTGTAAGACGAGAAATCACAGAGCGTACACTGGTGAATTTTCTTCCTCTCATGCCGTTTCAAGTGGCGTGTTAGATCACTCTTTTCCTGTGCCGTGAATGGACACTTATCGCAAGCGAACGGCTTGATTCTGTTCTCGGTATGTTTGGCCTTAATATGGCTTGTGAGAGTCTTCTTCTCTGCTGCAGCATAGTCACAGTGTGGGCATTTAAAGCGTCTCACACCGGTGTGCGTTGCCATGTGCCTGTTCAGGTTTCCTACTGTACCCGACCTGAAGCCGCATACTTCACACACGAAGCTGAAAACGCCATGTTTTGACCCCATGTGACACTGTAAGCTGTTCTTGGCGGCAGCTGCGTAATCGCACTGCGTACACTTGTACGGTTTCTCCTCCTGGTCTCTGTGGCGCGCCCGATGCTTTAACAGCGCACTACTGCTCGTTCCGGCGTACGAACATTCCGAACATTTGTACGGTTTCTCACCAGTGTGTTTTCTGATGTGGACAACAAGGCATTTCTTTGACGATGTAACATAGTCACATGTATCACACACATATTGTTTCTGCTTTTTTGTAATGACCCGTCTTTTTTCCTTCACTTGGTCTTTCTGTTCATAGCTGCATGTTGTGTTTTCTTTCTGTTTTTTCTCCATGCCATGTGTTTTTATTTGAAAGGATGCCGCCTTTTCCAAAAGTTCAGCTTTGTCACTGGTAGAAATTCTGTCCTTTTGTGTTTCAGACTGCTCTGACATCTCCAATTGTTCTGTAGCATCAACTGTGCTGTCCAAAGTTTCTGTACAGGTAGTTTCTATTGGGATAAGGTCCATTTCCTCCTCACATTCTGCAGGTTTTGCTTGTAATTCAGTATGCTGCACCTCTTTGAGAATCATATCTATATCTTGTACCAAACTGCTACTTGCATCGTCAGACGGCTGCGTTCTGTCAACATCCATTCTGTCATCTTTTGACGAGTCCGGTTCAACAGTAGTGACCTTGGGACTGTTGCTACTTTCAGTGGCGTAGTTTTCCAGAGTGAATGGATCGTATTCATTGTCACTTTCACATTCTCCTGCAAAACTTTCAACAGACTGTAGCTCGGTCTGCTGCTGTGTTTCAATTTCTATCACCCCACTGGTGACTCCTTGCTGAGAGTAGCTTTGAACGCTTTTTGTCTGACCATTTTGACCATCATTTTCTATGGTGACAGACATTGTGTTTTGAGATTTTTGACCATCATTTTCTATGGTGGCAAACGTTGTGTTTTGAGAAGAACCTTGTGTTTCCGTCATTACCTTGACAACAGCCCCCTGGTATTCCCTCATCATCACAGCTGACAGTTCCTTCACCAATTCGGTCCTGTACATGTTGTCTGTCTGTGTGTCAGCCCTGTCTGTCTGTCCGTCCCTCTGGATGTTTCTCCTGCCCAGCTCCAGGACTAGTTCCTCCAGGTGCAGTCTGGGAAGGACGGCTAGCGTCACTTCCTGACTCAGTCCAAGTATATGCCTGTCTGCCATGGTCGGCTACTAACTGAGTTCCTGTAAAATCAAAGAAGAGCATTTAGTACACTGTAGGTAGGTTATGGATAAGGTCTTTCCCATGTATACATTTGTGTACACACCCCAAAATCACCATCTTAAGTTACTAATCTTCAACATGTAGCCAGGATAACGGGCTGTTTCCAGGGCCTGCTGAGTTTCCCTCACAAGTTATATATCTGGCTAAAACTGACATGGCCCCACGTTAGAGCTGGCCTGTGCACAGCTGTGGCTATGTAAGCCATGGGAACAGTCTGGCATCCAGGGTACTTCCGTGAAATAAATTACTAGCCTGGTTGCCAGACCTATAGCACACTGGCCACAAGGTATCTCAGTGAGCACGAGATACTGAGATACTACAGTACTTTGTGTCCAGTGTGCTATGGGTTTGGCAACCAGGCTAATAAAACAGTAGTAGTACGTACACATTCCAACATAACCGAAGGATTGACGAACCTCTGGGTAATGTATTTACTGACTAGTACATTATCATGTGTCTTAGAGTCATCTTTGAGTCCATATATCTACATTTAATTAGCTAAAATCAGCCACAAAATCGTCTAGCGTCTTCCATTCAGTCAAGAACAAAAAAAAGTGGGAGGGGGGCGACTCGAGCGCGTAGTTTCCAACATTTGAGGTAACCTCACTATTCTTGCGTGCTTCTGTTCAGGCGCATTTTGATGAAACCCTCACCATTTTCAGAAGTTGCACGTGAAAAACTTACCCGCTGTCGTATATTTTGTTGTTCTTGTAGATTTTTAGCAGCCCGATTTGTCTTCAGAAATGATTTCCACTCCACCACGAGGTCATGACCCGAGAAAAAAGGTCAAAGGTGGTACAGTGACGTCATGTTATATTAACCCGATTACCCAAATCTGTCTAACTGTGAACGCTTACCGGTCAACGGCCAACCGGAGCTGGGGCCTGTAACATTTCTTAAACTTTAGTATCACTGTGTGACATTCTTGTAGTACAAGATAAGAACCCAAGACAAATTGAAAACCCCTTAGCTGTTAATCTGTAACTTCTATGGAGCAAGTTACGAGATGAATACACTCTGACATTGACAGGAAAATCATCTTTTTATTTCTTTTCCGTGGTCCAAATTCAAAGAAACTTTTTCTTACAATTCAAAACATGTTAATTGAATGAATATCAAGGCATAATAGCTTACAGACTACTAGTACCAAGTGGCCTAGAATGTTCAAGCTAATTTACATGTATTTTGTTTGAAAATGTTCTTGCTAAATGTAAATTAACAATTGAACAGGCAAAACATTGGCTTGCTTTTGATTACAATAAATATCCAGAAAAACAATTTCAATAATATTCATGATATTATTGTTTAGTTCCTTCACATGGTCTTGGTATATTGATGTTAGGAACTGATCTATATTAACTTATTCTATATTAATTTTGTGCCTTGACAACTTATGCCCAATCAAAAGATATCTTTGAATCAAGTTTGATATGTCTTATATGAGCAAAGGTCACAGGAGAATATTGGTCCCCCCTTGTGTTCAGCTTGGTGTGTTTTCAGCCCACACTTGGTGTGAGACGCGAAATCACAGAGCGTACACTTGAGAATTTTCTTCTTGTCGTGCCTCTTTAAGTGGCGAGTTAGATCACCCTTTTCCTGTGCCCTGAAGGGACACTTATCGCAAGCGAACGGCTTGATTCTGTTCTCAGTATGTTTGGCCTTAATATGGCTTGTGAGAGTCGTCTTCTCTGCTGCAGCATAATCACAGTGGGGGCATTTGAAGCGTCTCACATTGGAGTGCGTCGCCACATGCCTGTTCAGGTTTCCTAATGTACCAAACCTGAAACCACATACTTCACACATGAAGTTGAAAACGCCGTGTTTTGAGCCCATGTGACACTGTAAGCTGTTCTTGGCGGCAGCCGCATAATCGCACTGCGTACACTTGTACGGTTTCTCTTCCTGGTCTCTGTGGCGCGCCCGATGCTTTACCAGTGCACTACTACTCGTTCCCGCGTACGAACATTCCGAACATGTGAAAGGCTTCTCACCGGTGTGTTTTCTGATATGGACAACAAGGCATTTCTTTGACAACGTAACGTAGTCACATGTAGAACACACATATTGTTTCTGCTTTCTTGTAACGACCCGTTTTTCTTTTTTCAGTTGGTCTTTCCTCTCATAGATGCACGTTGTGTTTTCTTTCTGTTTTTTCTCTTTGCCACGTGTTTTTATTCCAAAGGATGGCGCCTTTTCCGAATGTTCAGGTTTGATGTCAGTAGTATTTCTCTCCTTTTGTGTTTCAGACTGCTCGAGCTCTGACATCTCCAACTGCTCTGTAGCATCATCTGTGCTGTCCAAAGTTTCTGTACAAGTAGTTTCTGTTGGGACGAGGTCTATTCCCTCCTCATCACATTCTGCATGTGCATGGTTTGCTTGGAGATCAGCATCTTGCACCTTGACCTCTGTGAGAACAATGTCCGCATCAAGTACCAAACTGCTACTTGCATTGCCAGATGGCTGCATTTTGTCAACATCCATTCTGTCATCTGAGACTTTTGACGTGTCCGGTTCATCAGCAGTGGCCTCGGGACTGTCGCTACTTTCTGCGGAGTAGTCTTCCGGAGTGAAAGGATCGTATTCGTTGTCACTTTCGCATTCTCCTGCAAAACTTTCAACAGACTGTAGCTCGGTCTGCTGCTGTGTGTCAGTTTCTACTACCCCACTGACCACTCCTTGCTGAGTGTAGCTTTGAACCCTTTTTGTCTGACCAATATTTTCTATGGTGACTGATGTTGTGTTTTGAGAAGAATGTTGTGTTTCTGTTGTAACCTTGACAATGGCCCCCTGGTATTCCCTCATCATAACAGCTGACAGTTCCCTTACCAGGTCGGCCCTGTACATGTTGTCTGTCTGTGTGTCAGCCCTGTCTGTCTGTCCGTCCCTCTGGATGTTTCTCCTGCCCAGCTCCAGGACCAGTTCCTCCAGGTGCAGTCTGGGAAGGACGGATAGCGTCACTTCTTGACTCAGTCCAAGGATATGCCTGTCTGCCATGGTCGGCTACTAACTGAGTTCCTGTAATATCAAAGAAGAGCATTTAGTAATTTGCAGGTACACACAGATAATAAGTCCTTCCCATGTAAACACAAACCACAATCACCCAACGTCACCTTAACTTTACTGGTACATGTGTACCATATTTCCAACATGTAGCTGGATATCTAGGCTATATTTTTCTGGGCCAATGCAGGCCAGCTCCTTGGCTCAAGGGCCAACATCCCCCCACGGCCACCCCCCTAACAAGGAAAATTTACACCACCCCCGCCCAAGTTATAACGTTATATCTGGCTAAAACTGCCATGGCCCCATATTACTGTCCTAGACCCGCGGAGCTAGCCTGTGGCTATGTAAGCCTTGGGAACAGTCTTCTTGAGTCCATCTACTGGTATCTACATTTAATTAGCTAAAGTCAGCCACAAAATCGTCTAGCGTCTTCCAAATTTCAGTCAAATTGACAAAAAAAAGTGGGGAGGGGGGCGACTCGAACGAGTAGCATATCTAACTTTTGAGGTCACCTCACTATTCTCGCTTGCTTCCGTTCAGGCGCATGTTGATGAAAACCTCACAATTGTCAGAAATTGTACGTGAAAAACTTACCTGCTGTCGTATATTTTGTTGTTCGTGTTGATTTAGCAGCACAAATGGTCTTCAGAATGATATTTCCACTCCACGAGGTCATGACCCGAGAAGAAAGGTCAAAGATGGTGCAGTGACGTCATGTTTCATAAACCCGATTACCCAAATCTGTCTAAATGCGAACGCTTACCGGTCAACGTCCAACTGAAGCTGGGGCCTGTAACATTTCTTTAACTTGAGTATCAATCTTTTAGAAAATCTGTGTGACATTCTTGTAGTACAAGATAAGAACCCAAGACAAATTGAAAACCCCTTAGCTGTTAATCTGTAAGTTCTAAGGAGCAGGTTACAAGATAAATACACTCTGATATTGACAGGAAAATCATCTTTTTTATTTCATTTCCATGGCCAAATTCAAAGACACCTTAACACGTTTACTTACAGTTCAAAACAAGTCATTGAATTAATATTAAGGCAAGCTTACAGACTACTAGTACATGTACTAGGTTGCCTAGATGTTCAAGCTAGTTATTTTGTTTGAAAATGTTCTTACTAAATGCAAATTAACACTTGAACAGGCAAAAAATTGGCTAGCTTTTGATTACAACAAATATCCAGAAAAAGAAAGCTCAATAAGGTTTATGATAATATTGCTTAGTTCCTTCACATGGTCTTGGTATATCGATGTTAGGAACAGATCTGGCCTTATGTCACCATATGTAACCCATGATTCATCAATAAAAAGTTGAAAAAAATTGCTATTGATAATACATGTAATGAAGGATTATAATGTCCTTGACTCCTTGGTGGTAGTGAAAATAATATTAATTCTCAAAATGTAATCTTTGAATTCTAATGACAATGGCATTGACAACTGACTTTTAAACTTAATTCTCAATGTTCTTTTCTCTGTGTGAACAAGTAAGAGGAATTTTAAGAATCAGAAGCTGCTTTGAGTTCTGCCTTGTGCCTGGCTTCATGACTACGCAGCAGGTGATCAAGAGACGTGGCATAAGAACACTTAGAACACTTCAAGGGTTTCTCTCCTGTGTGGATCCTCATGTGAGTTGCAAGGCTTGACTTCTTCTTTGCTCTGTAGTCACAGTGGTCACATGTAAACCGACGGTCCGGCTTGTGGGAAGTCTCATGACGAACAAAACACAGCCTATCGGGTGTGGAGAAATCGCACCCACGGGTGCTGCACCTGTAAATGTGTTCAGCTGTGGAATGTTCCTTTATGTGCTGTTCCAGTGCCTCCTCAGTCTTGGCAATGTATCCGCACATGTCGCAAGTCATCGTATTAGCAGAGTTCACGTGCTTTCCAAGATGGATGCTAAAATCGGTCTGGTTGTCGGCTTTGAAATCACAGTGCCGACATTGGAACGGGTCAGGTCCATGGATTTTGCTGTGATTGGTGATAATTGACTTAAAGCAAGAACTGAAGCTACACTGGTCACATTTGTACTTACTGGTTCTGTTATGTCCCTTCCTGTGGCTAGTGAGGCTAGAATACGTTTTGGCAGCAAAACCGCACTTGTCACACAGATACAGCTTCCCATGCCCGGTTGTTTTCATGTGTTCTTTTAGCTCGCGTAGTAAGAAGGTTTTGTGGTTACAAACAGCACAGGAGCACTGCTGATGCTTTTTATGTTTGGTGGCTAGGTGGAGAACTAATTCAGCGCTTTCGTTACTTGTAAATTCACACGATCTCACCGGACATTTGTGCACGTGTTCTGCCTTGTGTGTCTTTACGTGTTTGCGTAAAAGGTTCCTGTTTTCAGCGAGGTGGCTGCAGAAGTTGCACTTGAAGCATTTCTGGCCTGGGTGGGAGGTCTTGGTGTGTCTCATGAAGGTTGATAAACTGGTGGCAGCGTAGGCACATTGCGAGCACTTGTAAGGTTTCTCACCAGTGTGTTTATACATGTGTTTCTTCAGGAGGCTTGGTGTGCTGGCGCGGTGACCACAAAGCTCGCAGAGAGCGCCGCGAGCACCGTGTTCCTGCGACATATGCAAGAAAAATTGGCGCCGACCCTCGGTGGAGAACTCGCACTCCTTGCACTTGTAGACCTGCCCTTGACCATGGATCAGCTTCAAATGTACCTTAACGCCTTGCTTCAGCCTCGCTCGGTAGTCACACTTGTCGCAGGCGAAGGGGCGTGTCTTGTCGTGGGAAGTCTTGTGACAGTACAGCCTCTGCTTGGATGTCGTGGTGAATTCGCACTCTGGACATTTGACCGTCTTACTTGTAGTGAGACCTTGTTGTTCATCCCTGTTAACGTTGGCGGTGTCATCATGACGGGATGTCGAAACTTCACCTTGGGAGTTTGCACCTGGGGCCGCCTCTTCAGATGGCTGTATAGGACTCGAATTGCTGTCCTTACCACTCGCCTCTGCAAATCAAAGGGCAGACTTGTGTTAGAACATGCACTAAAATATGCAAAAACTGGAAACCAAGTCTTCTTATGTACTGTTTTCTCTTCATTGTTGTTGGTATCTTGTTGTTTTTTTTTGTTGTTGTTGATGGAGAGGGCACCGTTAACTGTAAGTAAGGTACTATTATACCAAGGACATTATACAGATCCTTGATTATACCAATCCTCGAAACATAGATGTGAATAAAATGAATTAATAAAGTCTGCAGGCAGCAAGTATATAAAGTGTCATCTGCAAAGTTTTTTTACTTAACACATTTTGCAGAGCTACCTACCTTTGTCACTGTTACTGTCCTCCATTGGTGACTCAGGTTGCCAATCTGAATCATCATCATCCAGTGGACCATCATCATCTTCATCTGATGACACTTCATCTTCCTCCTCATCTTCTGATAACGTTACATCAGGATCATCCTGATCCTCATCTGCCAGCTCCCTTATGGCTCCCAGGTCTGTTACAACAGTGTTGGAGCCCACACTACAGGACTGCCTGGTTACTGTGATCGCTCGGAGCTCTCTCTTCAGATATCCTTTCCCCAGTCCCTCCTTGGTCACAGTGCTCTCTTCCAACGTCTCAACCGTGTCACCAATGTTCATCAGGTTTCTTACAGTTGAAGATGATGCTTCTACTTGTGTCTCCAAGTTGTGCAGCCTGGCACTTCTCCTTGGTGAGGTGACTGTCGTTGTCTCAACGACCACTTCTTGTGCGAGTACAGGGACTCGCAGTGGACTCGACACTGTCACTGGTTGTGTCGGGGTGGGTTTGGTGCTTTTGGTTGGAGTAGTGACAATTGTACTAGTAGTACCAACACCATTAGTCAGACTTACATGAGAGTCTGCATTGTTAGTGGTTGGTGTTACTGGAACTGTGGCGGTGGCACTATTTGTTGATGTTACAGTTTCCATCAGCTCTTGAAGGTCGTTTGACAAGGTTGCCCACATGGTCCTCTGTTCTGCTGCAGAACTGTGTGGTGTACCTGTAGCAGCTGTGGGGGCTTCTGGGATCACACTGTGATCTGTACCTTGGAATTCCTTGATGAAAGAGAAGACATGTCAAATTGTATGCATGTTCTATCTTTTTACCCTTGAAGCCAATTTGGTTACTTTTATTTCACATTGTGTAGTGCACGTGGGCGTTCTGTTTTACTGGGCGGGGGGAAATATTAGAGCCCAGAGGACATCTTGCCCCAACCATGATAGACTGGATACCAGCTTAGTTACTAGTATCTGTACATGTTCCCCTGAATTTATTACCAAGCATTATTAAAAAGCTCTTTGTATCTCCAACAGTTAGTCAAACATCAGATTGTCCAAAATTCAAAACAGAGGGTGGAATGGAACCTTCTCTCGGCGGCTATGTAGGATGGCCAGCTATATCAAAATAATGCGTTAAAAACTCTTGCCCACTGCCGCGGGGCCTGCACAGGAGGCTAGTTAACGCTTACAGTTACACCCTCATCGCACTTACATCGCAAGTATCCCCCCATGCAGACCCTCCATAATTTGAGAGTTTCCCCCTTACCTTAACCATAAGGCCCCACAGCTTGCTGACCAAACTCTCCTTCTTGTAAGTTTCTCCCACGAGGATGTTCCTTCGGTCAAGTTCAAGTAGAAGTTCCTCCTGGTGCAGTCTGGGAAGGACGGCCAGGGTCACCTCCTTACACAGTCCGCAGATTTTAGCACCACCAGTGGTTGCCATGGTAACTGAAAGTATTGGAAGTACAATCTCTTACATTTCAAGATTGATACACACAACAGAAAATATAACAGTATTGAAACTAATATTGATAATATAATCCCAACAACAAACAACAAGAACAATTCTGTAAAATCTAGCTTGTTTTAATAGCCTTATTTCACATACAGTTCCCTCATGAATGTAATTTTTTGTAATTTCAAAGCCAAGTAACAAATTATTGAAAGAAAATATTTGTCTTGACTTATATTTCTATCTGAGAACCCTTTTATAACAGCAATTTCAAAGCCAAGTAACAAAAATTCATTGAAAGGAAAATATTTGTCTTGACTTATATTTCTATTTGAGAACCCTTTTATAACAACTCTCAGAACTCAAGGCGCCTGCCTTTTCGTACGTAATTTTGAAAATATAACAGTTAATGTACAGTCTAGAAATAAGCTATTTGACAATTGCTTCTAGCAAGGGCAAAATTTGCTGCTACCAAGGAGCTTTCATCATGAAAGCTCCTTGCTGCTACATAATTCCTCCCCCAAATTTCTTTCCACAAACATTACAAATGGGGGAGGGGGGCGAGTAAAATTCCTTGCTATCACGAAATCCGCTCTCTCAGTCGTACACAGAAATCACTGTGCTGTCAAAAACCAACCTGGTCTCGAACTTCTGATAGGAAGCCCGCTTTCCTTACGAAAATGTGTCGTTTCAGCGCAGATTTTCGTGAGAATCGACCATCTGTCCAGCGGTGACCTGACGCGGAAGGTCAAAGGTTACGATGGTGACCCCAACCTGATTATCCAAACTTGTCCACAATCTCCTGCTTACACACCAATGCCCTTGTTTCATGCACAATTGTACGGAATATTTATACCGACAAACCTGTCCCTACATTTTGATGACTAAGATATATGAATGTGTCTAAATGATTAAAAAGGTTTCTTGTCCTCAGCATACTGTACTAAGTACTAGTAGTTCCTACACCATATATTGTATACAGGTCCTTCACTATAATACTAGTAACCTACCCTTGACAATGGCTGACACTTGGATCTAATCTTCTCTGGGGTAGTATCAATATCAAAGTCAAACTATAGTCAAACTTGTACTAACTAGTGATCATTGACCATCTTTGCATTACTACCACTTGACTATTATGGTCCTCTATATTGTCAGTCCCTTGAAAAATTTTCCAGGCCATTGCCCCAAGTAGTACAATGTAAGTTCCCCGTCTTATGTGAAGTACTGACACCTTTTGCCTTTTTACCCTTGCATGCTGCTTATTTAATTATATACGAGAGTCTAGCTAAATAAAAGAGTGGCATATGGAGATAACATTATTTTATTTTAAGTTTCCAAAGAACAAAGTCCAAACACTCCTGTACATGTTTTCTTTAACATGATAGTTTGTTGGAAACAATTAATTACAATTACAGATCATTCTATATTCAAAATTGCATCAGTCATCTCAATGTTCAAGCAAGGGTACTTTAATAACAACTTCTTTCACCATACATGTAACAGTAACAATTGCTTTAGCAAAACACTGCAAACCTGGTATAATTTGAATAACTGATCAAGGACATTTCCTGATTTGGGGACCTGAGCAGTGTTTATGTATATTCATTAAAATACAGAGAAACAACCCGGTATGTTTTAGTCATCAGAATGAAACAATGAAAAAAAAGTTCCAAGAGCCAAAAATGGATATTTCAATGATAATGATCATTGAATGGAGTTAACCCTACACTTTTATTTCTTTAGAAAGAAGTTTTGTTGGTCTATGAATCTGCATTATTACTGACATTTTCATTTTTCAGTACAGCTTTCTCCTCTTCATTATCATCATCACCATCTTGGTCTTCACTGATGTGTTTCATTGCATGTAAATACAGTTCATGTCCATTTGATGCTCTGAAATCACAGTGGGAACACTGCTGTGTTTCGTCTCCTTCTTTACTGATGTTTTGTTGCTCTGTCGATGCCTGTCCCGTGTGCAGCTTCTTGTGCTCCTCTAGCCTGTTTTTGATTGACGACGTGAACCCACAGATGTCACACATGTTGGGGAAGTTACGTCCATGCTCTGCCTCGTGACGATGCAGATGATGCTGCGAGGCGGAAGCGTACGGACACTTGGAACACTTAAACGGTTTCTCCCCCGTGTGGATCCTCATGTGGGCCGCAAGGTGCTGCCTCTTCGTTGCCCTGTAGTCGCACAGGTCGCACGGAAACGGACGGTTCAAGTCGTGGGAAGTCGCGTGACGATCCAAGCATGCGCGGTCTGGAGTTGAGTAATCGCAGCCACCAAAATCGCACTGGTAGATTTTGAGTCCATTGTTGTGTTCCTCTATATGCTGTTCCAGGCTCTCCTCTGTGTTGGCAACATATCCACACATGCCACAAGTAGTCGCATTAGTCACGTGCTTTCCGAGATGAATGCTCAGTTCATTCTGATTCTTTCCTTTGTATTCACAGTGCGGACACTTGAATGGGTCATCTCCATGGTCTTTGCTGTGTCTGAGGACAACTGATTTTATCTTTGAACTAAAGTCGCACTTGTCACATTTGTATTGCTCCAATTTGTTGTGGCTTGTGATATGACTTCTAAATTTGATGTATGTCTTGGCAGAAAACTCACACTTGTCACACTTATAGATATCACTATGGGTTTTCATGTGCTCGTTTAGCTCATGCAGTAAGAAGGTTTTGTAGTTACAAACAGTGCAGGAGTACTGTTGATGCCTAGAGTGTCTTCTGGAAAGGTGCTGGAGTAATTCGTCCTTGTTATAACTCGAAAATGGACAAGCTGTCACTGGGCATTTGTGCACCTTGTGCGTCCTTTTGTGCTGACGTAGAAGGTTCAAACTTTCAGCAAGGTGGTCGCAGCGATCACACTTGAAACACTTCTCGCCTGGATGGCACGTCTTCACGTGACGTTTCAGACCTTTCGAAAGTGGGGCTGCAAAGTCACATTGCAAGCACTTGAAAGGTTTCTCGCCAGTGTGTACATACATGTGGGTTTTTAACGCGTTTGCTGTTGTGGACTTGTGCCCACATTGCTCGCATTGAAGCCTATTTTTGCCATGTTTCATCGCCATGTGCTTGGTAAGCAAACCAAGAAACTTGGAGGAAAAGTCACACTCCTTACACTTGTAAGGTTGCTCTCCGGTGTGGGTCTTGAAGTGTTTTCGTAGCTTTGCCATTGTCTGTGCTCGATATTCGCACTCTGTGCAGGCGAAGGTGCGGGTCGTGTTGTGTGTGGTCTTGTGGTAGTTTAGCGCCGTCTTGGATTCCGTGGTGAACTCGCACTCCGCACATTTCAGGACACGAGTGTGACCCTGTTGGTGACGTTCCATGACCATGGGGTATCTGGTGGTGTAGCCACACTGACGGCAAGTTAAGATTTTGTCTCCTCGGTAGCCAAGTTCTGTGTAAAGCGTGAAAAAGAGTGATGTAATTTAGCCATAGTATGCTCATTTAGTTCAGTTGTCGTAAGTGAAATAGGTGTGGTCTTATGGTGTGTGGTTTTGTGGTAGTTTCAGGTCAGCTTCAGGTCACACTAGTAACTGATACATTTTGGACTACTACTAAAATTGACTTATAAAAAGGGAGACAAGACAAATCTGACCAACTCGATACCGATCAGTAAGAACGAAACAAAATCAAATAAAATAGGTGTGGTCTTACCTTTTGGTTCCCTGCGAGATTTTCTCCGCTTAGGTGGAGGCTTGTCGTCTGCTAGTGAAAGTGAAAAGCTGTTAAGATGACAACATTTTTCCAGAGCTTGAAATACCTACTACAGTGCTCACCAACTATTTGCATCACTGACATTGGCATAAACCTGGGATCTGCATAAAATTCTGAAAACCCAAACCATTTCCCATTCACTACATTATAAATTGCATGGCATAATTGCATGAGCTGTTATGACTTTAACCTGATATTGGACTAAAATATTTCCAAGTCAATGGCACACTGACCCAGAAGTACGTGAAAGAAATACATGTAATTTGTTGCGCATCAGCAAATCCGCATGAAGTCCATTGTTATTCATTCATTATCACCCCTGCACCCTCCATTGTCGTACACTTTCTCTGTCGTCACTTCCTTCTGGACAGGTGAGAACCCCCAATCACTCGATGATTGTGTGAAGAAGTCCTTTGTTCCTTTTTGGTGTCCTTGATTGGGCTGTTGTTTTAGGTTTGGTAAGCTTTTGCCCAACACAGGGGTGGACAGTATGAAGGTGGAATGTGTCTGATCTTCTATCTCCATGTTAGCCCTGTTCATTATGAGTTTCTGAATGCGACTTGAAGATTAGAATATGGTACATGTATGTAGTTGTGGGTGAAAGTGAGTATATAAATACCAATAACATCATGTTTGTGGTTGTTTCAATTGGCCCCAGCCCAGTATCATCCATAACCAACTGACCTCCCCTCCCTGTCGGTCATGTGGACTCTCCTAAGGTTATTGGACTAAACCTGTTATAGGAATAAAATTCCCTGACAAATCGTCCATGCAAATAACAGGAGAGCACTGTAGTAGCTGCAATGGGGGGGGGGGGGAATTAAAGCAAAAGCACAAACTTTTCAGCAAGAATAAAACAAAAACAAATGAAATAGGTGCGGTCTTACCCTTTGGTTCCCTGCGTGACTTCCTTTGCTTTCGTGGAGGCTTGTTGTCTGTCAGTGCAGTAGTACTCTCTTCAACGGATGCGCCATAAGCTGAACTGCTGTCTTTACCACTAGACTCTGCAAAAGGAAAAAGAAGGTTGCATAAAAATGAACTAAAACAAAATTAATGGAAAATCCAAAAAGCACATTCTATTGGGGTGCCAAAAGAAACTTGTTCTATATCAAATACGTGTATCTGCAAAACGTAATCTTAAATTTTAAAACGACAAAATGATACCTACTTCTCTTACTGCTACTGTTTTGCTGCCTGTCCTCCACTGGTGACTCTGGTTGCCAATCTGAATCATCATCATCCAATGGAACATCATCATCTTCATCTGATGACTCTTCATCTTCCTCCTCATCTTCTGCTGCAGCAGGATCATCTTCATCTACATCCACCAGCCTCCTGATTGCTCCTAGGTCTGTTACAACAGTGTTGGAGCCCACACTGCAGGAATCCGACCTGGTAACTGCCATAGCTCGAAGCTTCGCCTTTCCTTTCCCCCGGCCTTCTTTGCTTGCTGCAGCTGGGTTTTCTTCTGAAAGCTGGTAAGTCTCTACCACCACATCACCTGTGCGCCCAAGGTTGCTCGCACTTGAAGATGCTTCTGCTTCTTGTGTCTCCATGATGTGCAGCCTTGCACTTCTCCTTGGGGAGGTGACTGGACTCTTGGCCGATCCTGCCGTTGTCTCAACGACAACTTCTTGAGCGAATATTGAGATAGGAAGACGCGGAGGACTTGCTATTGTTACTGATGTCAATTGTTGTGTCTGCTTAGAGTCGGTGCTTCTAACTGCACTAGTAAGATGGGCACCCGTGCTGCCAGTGCCAGCATTGGCTGTAGTTGCACCATTTGTTTGTGTGGTATTTGGTGTTGATGGAACAGTGTTTGTCGGTGTTACAGTCTCCATCAGCTCTTGAAGGTCGTTTGACAAGGTCGCCCACATGTTCCTCTGTTCTGTGGCTGAGCTGGGTGACGTTCCAGCAGCGATGGAGTGGACCATAGCTTGGTACTCCTTGATTAAAGAGACAAATAATTGATGGTTACTTTTTCCAAACTTCACTACTCTAGACAGTCTAGTATTTATTTTTGAAATTTTGAAAAGTGGTTAACATTTCAGGATTCCTACAAAATGTAAAGGACTTTTGGACTACTACTACATTTACTTCTATTTACATGTACCTTGTACTTCAACAAAGCAATACATACTTTGAACTATTTCTTATAAAAGTAATTATTCTTCATGAAACAGAAATGAATCTGTGGCTGCTGCAAATCTGAAACCTGAATCTTCAAAAATCAAACCTTCAGTGTAACACATACTGGGCTACTATGCCAGCCTTGCAGACTTGAGTTAGCAACTGGTATCATCAGGTGACTTGTCGCACCTTTGCCCTGTGTCATGTACAGGCTTTTACATAAGAATTGTTTTGTGGGGTGTCCATTTTTTTAAATTGTATGCCATGCCCACCAAAGACACACGGGGACTGTGCAAAAGCTTTATTGTTGTTTTTTTTTTGTTTTTTTTTTGTTTTTTTTTTTTAATTCACAATGCTTTCAAACACTGCTTTCTAAATTTTGAGGTGCAGATGGCAGGGATTGGTAGTGGAAAAAAATAGGGCGCCCTACCAAAAAGTAGAGTGTCCAATTTCTTATTATTTTCAGTACAGGGCATCCAACAGACACCCCCTAGCAAAAAATATGATGAGGCATCGTCGAGGCCCTTAAGATAAGACATAAGTTTGTGTACGTTTAGAACTGTATTAAGCCATCCTTACCTTAACCATGATGAGCCACAGCTTGCTGACCAAACTCTCCTTTTTGTAAGTTTCTCCCACGAGGATGTTCCTTCGCCCAAGTTCAAGTAGAAGTTCCTCCTGGTGCAGTCTGGGAAGGACGGCCAAGGTCACGTCCTTACTCAGACCAAAGGTCTTTCCTCCCTGTGTGGTTGCCATGGTAACTGAAAGTATAGAAAAATGATATTATCTTTATAAAAAAAATTGTAGAACGAAAGAATTTTTACAACCAAGTCGTATGCAGGTGCAGGTGTATAACGTTAAAGATTGTATTTTCTCGAGCACATGACGATTGTCATCCAAGAAAAAAAAATGGTATTAAATTATTAAGATAACTCGGACCAGGCCCTCTTGAAAGGTATCGTTCTGATTATATGGCCCAAAACAGTAAAATAAAAGGCGTGTTTCTTGGTTTCGACCGCCCCCCTCCCCAGCCGAAGATAATTTTTGGCATGGACCTTTCAGTAGAAGTAGATGGCAAAATGTATTTATCAACGCCTCAGCATTTCACAGAGAACTCCAACACTATCAAAGAAGGTTGTAAAGTCTTCTGAATGATCTAGACAATCAACAAAACCTGGAAACATGAAGCACTAACCTGGCTTCGCTTAGCCTGGCTTGCCCTGTGACATAGAATGTGCCATTAGAAAACAGGGGTGTGACAGTTCGAATGGGAAGAAGCTTTGTCATCATTTCAAACATTGATATACTCGTACTTAACAAATACTCACATACTAAATTTTGTTTTCACCTATACAAGGAAATATGGCTTGTGTTAAGCGTCATTTTGCGGAGTAAAATAGACAACGCAGCTTACCTTTTATTATAGTAGACTTGTCCTATCAGCTTTAGGTCTCGTCCGCAGAACTAGCTATTAAATATCTTTTGAAATTGGCAGTAAAATCACAGTTTTGACACCAAACATGCGTTTTGGAACACATTGCATCAATAAAAGTGACAGGGTCTATCTGTTGTCTGTCTAATAATTGTGGAAATGGATCTTTCTTTTTATCTTGGGAACGAGAGCAGTAAAGGGCAAAGGTCATAATCTGGAACTGGGCGATTACATTTTCGTCAGGGTTGGATTTCTGAATCAAGGAGTAGACTTGTCATGATACCTTTGGCTGTTTTAATAGTTGCACCTTTCCCCGCTACTTTTCTGTGAGACACGGCGACATTTTGTCTTCAATGTCCAATGACAGAAGAAGAAATAGAGAGGTGCAAAATATATATAGTTTCATGAACCATGGAACCAACCCAACAACCAACCAAATTATCCATAAACCCACCCACCCATCCAACCATCCATCCATCCATCCATCCATCCATCCATCCATCCATCCATCCATCCATCCATCCATCCATCCATCCATCCAACCAACCAACCAACCAACCAACCATCCAACAAAAAAACAAACCAACCAACCATCCAACAAACAAACCAACCAACCAACCATCCAACAAACAAACAAACCAACCAATCGAACAACCAAGTATAAAATAAAGAAGCACAGAGTTCTTTCATCATTTTATTAGCTTATATTTACACAACTACCAAACAAAATAAAGTGTTGTATTAAGCACTTTAAAGTTTAATCGGCTGGTCCCTGTGGAGCTTCCCTTCCCTTGCGTCGTCTGCAGAAATGACATGATATGGGTGTCAATGTTGGTTTAATAGAATGGTTTACAGCTAACATCATTAAATTACCTTGCAACAGAGACCTTGTGTATTCAGTGTAAATACATGTATGTTGATTATATATTATACATTGTATATTTAATAATACCTGTACTTCAGTGAGTGTATCATCTGATCAAATACGATAATGTTTAATTTGGTTGAATCGTCCAGTTTTTAAGTAGTACATTTGCATTTTACTTCACTACATGTAGTAGACAAACATTACATAAAACGTTACCTCTTAACCTCGTATCGCTTAGTCCTCAGCACTCTCCTTACTTCCACTTCAATGTCCCCTTTTATGATATGGGGGAAGCTGCCAAAGACCTGTGAATAAAACAGCATGATTTTTAATCAAGTTGTGCAAGTAATGGATATCCCAATAAAGTATCAAAGTATTCTTACACCATCCTGGACAGAATGTTTCTACATGTATCCTTGAGAGAGAAAGGAGATGGTTTGCGTGTTGGAATAAAGAGTCGGTACACATCAGAGCCCTCTCATCTTAAAACTGTGACCAAGGCCGCCACAGACTAACCCCCATATACAACAACCTTATCTGGTCACTATGACCTGTGTTGACTGTCTAGCTCTTGGACATGTAACTACCTTCACTCACTCACTCACTCACTCACTCACTCACTCACTCACTCACTCACTCACTCACTCACTCACTCACTCACTCACTCACTCACTCACTCCTTTTTTAACATTTCCATTTTGTACATATTCCATACCATACACCCTATGAATGAGTATTTTAATTACATACCATTCCCAATTAATTAACACACACTAACACATACACACACAGACACAGACACACACAGACACAGACACACACAGACACATACACTTACACACACAGACACATACACACACAGACACATACACACACAGACACATACACACACAGACACACACAGACACATACACACACAGACACATACACACACAGACACATACACACACAGACACATACACACACACACACATACACACACACACACACACAAACACAGACACACACACACAGACACACACACACAAACACACAAACACACACAGACACACACACACAGATACAGTCATATCTAATGCCTGGCTGCTTATCTTTTAGTTACTTACTTCCTTCACGACTCTCCGGAAACCCTTTTCTGAGGAGGAAGTCACTTGGTGCTTCGATATAAGTGATCTCACCTCGCGCTGCAAAAGCATAAGTTACTATGTGAGATGTTTCTAGTTGAGAAATTTAAACATAGTCAAAAAGATATTTTGTCATAGGAGAAAAAATCACAAGAAGACATACTAGTATTATCTAATAACCAGGTTTTAAACCATGTGGAATAGGAGATACTTACACAGAACCGTCGCCGCTCTACTGACATCCCTCTCCTTTGAGTCTGGAGCTCCAGAGGTGTGGGTCTGCATCTCTGTGTCTCCACTAACGTGTATAACAAATGAGTCAGTTGTTAAGTATGCATTTCACTGCCTCATCCAAAAAATTAGCTCCCTAGAAATGTTGTTAAGTCAAGATTTCTTCTCCTGGGTAGCCATGTCCGGGATAAAATAAAAACAGAAATGTGCAGTATTTGAACAATATTAAAAGTTCATTTACCTGCATGCAAATTTTTATTAGATTTAGCTGAGTTGTCATACATTAGTGAAAAGCTGTAAAGATGACAAGACTTTCCAGAGCTTGAAATAGCTATAGCTGCATTTGGCAGGGAAATTTAAGAAACTTTTTAGTATGAAACAAAAGAAATAAGAAATAGAAAAATAAAATATGCATGGCTTTACCTTTTGTTTCCCTGGGTGGTGTTTTCTGCTGCATATGTGGAGTCTGGTTGTCTGTTGGTGAGGTGGCAGTCCCTTCAAAGGGCGTTGCATAACTTGAACTGTCTTTACCACTGAACTCTGCAAAAGAAAGGGGACGCTTGTGTAAACATGTACTAATTCAAAGAAAGGTACAGTAACATTTGCATTTAGAAAATGTATAATGTTAACCTTCACATAGTCTAACAAACCATGTTTAAGTTTCTAAAAAAACTTACTCATACACATTCATATTTTTGGTGACCAGCCTCTCCAACTGTGTCCTGCAACTTGCTACATAATGTAACCTAACATCAAAGGGTGTTTGCTACAGCACCAGTTACCATGGTGACAGACATTTCATTGACCGTATGTGTTCGGAGAAGAAAAGTGCAAAAACAACATGTTTTATTGCAAAACACACACATGGAAAAAAAGATAAAGTATTACCCAATCTCTTACTGCTACTGTTTTGCTGTCTGTCCTCCATTGGTGACTCTGGTTGCCAATCTGAATCATCATCATCCAATGGAACAACATCATCTTCATCTGATGATACTTCATCTTCCTCCTCATCTTCTTCTGCAGCAGGACCACCCTCTAGCCCCCTTATGTCTCTTAGGTCTATCACAACAGTGTTGGAGTCCACATCACAGGTATCTGACCTGGTAACTGCCATAGCTCGAAGCTTTCTCCTCCCTTTCCCCTGACCCTCCTTGGACACTGGGTTTTCTTCTGAAGGCTGATGGTAAGTCTCAACCATCTCACCGAGGTTGCTCGCACTTGAAGATTCTTCTGCTTCTTGTGTCTCCATGATGTGCAGCCTTGCACTTCTCCTTGGGGAGGTGACTGGGGTCTTGGCCGATCCCGCCTCTGCTGATGTCTCAACCACAACTTCTTGTGTGAAAATAGACACAGGGAGATGCGGAGGACTTGCTATCGTCACCGATGTCAATGGTTGTGTCTGTGTAAGGTCCGTGCTTCTGGCTGAAGTAGCGAGAGGGGCATCTGTATTGCCAATAGTAGCTGAAGATGTAGTAAATGAACCATTTGTCTGTGTTACTGAAACGGTGTTTGTGGGTGTTACAGTCTCCATCAGCTCTTGAAGGTCGTTTGACAAGGTTGCCCACATGGTCCTCTGTTCTGTGGCTGAGCTGGATGATGTTCCAGTAGTGATGGAAGGAGTACTAGTACTAGTGTTGTTTGGCATCGCTGTCTGGACCATACCTTGTTGATGATACTCCTTGATCAAGAAGACAAATATTTAAATGTTATTCGTGACATCCTTCACAGTTAAGTTTTCAAAATTTAAGATTTCTACATAAAAAAAAAGAATTTAAAATACAATGTACTATCTACATGTGTGTAAAATACTATCTACAGAGTATATGTGTGTGTGTGGTCTGAGACTTATTCTTGGTAGAACAAAAAGGAATCCACATCTGTTCCAAAGCAAGTATATCTACTGTTTTACGGGGTATCTGAACCTTAAATAATCAATATATAGTAGAGGGGATTCATTCCTCAAGCTAACCGGCATCTTGCACATAGGCTGTGTGTGACATGCTGAATAAAAGTTCTAAACGGGAACTATGCGTCTCCAGATGTCTTACTGAGGGACGACTGTGTGTACAAGATGTCAGTTAGCTTGAGGAATGAATCCCCTCTACTACTGTAATTCACTTTATGTTCACAGTAGCAAAATTTCACTGTCTGAGAAAAATTGACATGTTCATATATTCACGGTGGCAACAGGTGCAGGAAAAAGAAAGTCCAGGAATTATTTGTTGACTGTAATGATAAGTTCACGGAACAGAAGTGACAGTGAAAACAGTGAACATGAAATTACAGTGAAAAAATCAGCAATTACAGTATATATATATATATATACTTTCGAGTAAAACTGCACATATATACCTTAACCATGATGAACCACAGCTTGCTGACCAAACTCTCCTTCTTGGATGTTTCTCTCACAGGGATGTTCCTTCTGCCAAGTTCAAGTAGAAGTTCCTCCTGGTGCAGTCTGGGAAGGACGGCCAGGGTCACCTCCTTACACAGTCCAAAGGTCTTTCCAGCCTGCGCAGTTGCCATGGTAACTAAAAGTATGAAAAATAATACCTGTAATGTTTCTTTAATAAACTTGAGTGGAAGAATCGAACAAGAACTAATTCTGTGTACTTCACGTGTAGAAAGTTGCATGTTCTCGAGTTCAAGAATATAATTGGCCATCTGATCAATACAATACTAAGAGGACGAATATTCAACTGAACTTATGGGATTAGATTACTAGTATCTTTCCTCAGTAAACTTGAAGAGCGAAAGAATTGGGGTGGGGTCATGTGGCGTAACGGTAGAGTGTTTGGCTCAGACCCAAGAGGTCTCGGGTTTGAATCCTGCCTGATGCCACCGATCTTGTGCCCTTGGGAAAGGCACTTTACACAACTTTCCTCACTTCACTCAGGTGAAAATGAGTACCTAGCTTCGGTTAGGGATCCCTTGAATAGGATATTCAATGGAGGTCCCGTGTTTGGGAGAGCCACACCCCACGAACGTTAAAGAACCCGTCGCACTTATCGAAAAGAGTACTAGTAGGGGTCCTTCCAAGTGTGAGTGGCTCAAACCTTACAGTCCGGTCTTACGCAACTTGTACTTACATGTACAAAACTGGTGTGTTATGCCTAAAAAAGGCAGTTTACCGGGTCAAGAGCTAAACTACATTTAAAAAATTATGTTTCAACAGTTTGACATAATGCTATCCACGAAATCTGGCAGTTTAAGAAAACTCCGAGCAGACCATCTCTCAATAGACATTTCTTATAACTGTTGTAAATTGTTGTAAGTGGTAAAATGTGAATCAAATCGCTTCATGCTATACTAACAGGATTCTGCCCCCCCCCTCTTCGAGTATCTGTAGCTCTCTCACATAAAATTTATATTTCTAGTACATTAGACAGAAAAGATCACATACTAATGACTCGAATACATGCTAAATATTCTCAAACAACCTTGTTCAGTCTTCTGAATGTTCTAGAAAATGAACAAAACCTCATAGTATCAATATAGTACAAAAATGTACTACCAACCTGGCGTGTTTTGGCTTGGCTTGGCTTGCCCTTTGACATGGAATGTGCTATTAGAAAACAGGGGTGTTTGAGTTCTAATATGATTAGCTGTATCGCTATTTAAACGGCGAACTTTCACTATAGATAAAACATTCGACTAATTTAGAATATTTATATTAGGAAATGTTGACTTTATCAAGTGTTTCATGATATAAAGTACAAATTGTCAGCTTACCTGTTATAACAGTGGACTTGTCCTATCAGTCTAGTCTCGTACTCAGAGTTCCGAGTATCTACATTGTATTTCAAATTGTAGATAAAAGCGTCAGTTATGACACAATACTTGGGACACAATAATAAGTGTCTATCTGCCTGTCATATTGTGAAAATGGAATTTGAATTTTGCTATTGTTTTGAGTCTGAGAACGAGACTAACAAAGGCAAAGGAACTATGTTTACACTTTCGTCAGGGTTTTTTTGGGGGATTTTTGACTGAACGGAGTAGACTTTTCAGTAAATCTTTATAATGTTTTCCTGGTTTTACTTAAAAAAAACAGGCAAGTGGAGGTGTGGATATGATTAACGCATGGCTTAATAGTAATAGATAGCGTTTGCCTCGTAAAAGTATACTAATATGAAGTGTAATATAACTTATAAGTATGACAATAATCATTAATATAATAATGAATATGGGTTTCCAAGTAAACATAAACTTTCTTTATTCAATCAGTATTACACAATGAGACATACTGGCCTTGTGATGATTGGTCCGACAATGTACATGTACTAAAATTTTTAATGATACTGGCCTTATATATATATATATACTTTGATATTGAGATGTTGTAACATTGTTTCATTTTTTTTTTTTGGTCTTTTTGCTAGATACTTATTTGATGCATGTAGTTTCTTTGGATAAATTATACTTTGATACATAACAATAACTTTATAATTAAATTACTGACCAATATCTGCAGCATATGTGAGAAGCCAGACAAAGTTTGCACTTTATCTATCGAGAATGTATGACATTGTATAAACAATACAGTTGATATTATTATACTAGTATATACACATCTTCCTAACCCTAAGAATTTGCTGTATTATATATGTATACATTAGTCTTTAAAAACGAATTATACCCAAAACGAAAAAAGTAATTAAACATTCACCTCGGCTTATTTTAAAAGGAAGCAAAAATTATCTGAACTGTCCTTATATTATCAAACCTTATACAATAATATGCAGCATTTCAAACAACATACAAAATATATACATGTGTGACTGTGTATATAGCAAGATTTTAAAATATTCACCAAACTATCAACAGTGCTAGCTATTCCCAATAGCTATCATTGGCTAGTCGGGTAGCCTTGCATGTACATTGTACATGTAGCAATGATATAGAATAAATCTAAAACAAAATATGCCACAACCATTGTTTACCATAGGTACACATATCCAATGTGCTATATGTGTATTCTTTAGTACAACAAAAAATTCTCTAGCTAAGAAAAAAATATATTGCAGAAATACTAGTCTAATATTTCCATGTTTGAATACCATATCCTCTCTTACGACCTAAAACGGTCACCAACACCTAAAAGAATATATCTACAGTGTACACACTTCATGTAAATAAACCTTTTGAGTAACTGTTTTGGCTAAACCTTTGTCTTTGAAGAATTTGAAGCTTCTTGTCATCAAACTTTGTGAGAATAATTTTAAGAAGTTTGGCCTGGATTTTTGCAAGAGTAAAATACACTCAAACAACACGCGTTTTTTTTTTAATCTAAATTTTCTATACTTTTTCCCATGGAGGTAGACTTGAACATGAATTGGATATCATTATGTTCAATTCTACCTCCATGTTTGTCCTTGGATTAAAATTTCTATACTTTGTCCTTAGATTAAAAATATTATCAGGTGAGCACCAACTAAAAAAAGACTGTGTAAAACAGAAAATTAAATGTTTATCTTCTACTGTATTGTTCGACTGCGCGATTTTTCTCTTCTTCACTGTGCTTCCCCATGTGTTTGGCCAGCTCCCTTCTCCTGGCCGAGCAGTGGTTACAAAAAGGACACTTGTAGGGTTTCTCCCCCGTGTGAGTTCTCAGGTGGTTGACCAGAGCCGACTGGACGGCGGCCCGGTACGCACACTTGGGGCACGCATACGGGCGGTCTCCGGAATGCGTGCGGAGATGCTTCACCAGATCCGGTTTCCGGCTGGTCCGGTAGTCGCAGTGGTCGCACTTGAAGGGCCTCTCACCGGTGTGCCGCTTCATGTGGACCTGGACGTGCTCCTTCCGGGCGCCCGTGTAGTCGCACAGCGGGCATTTGAAGGGTCTCTCGCGGGTGTGGACGCGCACGTGTTGTTTGACGTTGCCACGGTGACGGGTGAAGTAGGAACACAGCGGGCAGTGGTACAGTTTCTGCCACTTCCGCCCACCATCCGTGACGTCAGAGGTCGCTGAAGACGAGCCTTCATCAGCACCTATTTAGCAAATAAATCATTGATCAATCAATCAATCAAATAACCGAACAATGCTCATTTAATTCAACCCAGCAGAAACTTACAAGAGTTTGTCGATGAAGGTTAGACATTCAGGAAACAGATACACAAGAAAACAGTTACTCAAGCAGAATCTATCCAGTTGCTTAAGTAACTGTTTCTTACGTATACAAAATTTGGCTTTCGTGTTCGAAACTAAACCTAGTTCCGGAGACCTAGTTTCGACACACAAAAAAATGTACTAGTCAAAATGGCCCACTTCTAATGCCACATATCCATAGGATGCGCCTCAGGAAGTGGGTCAACCTCTTAATAATGCTGAGGGCAGATGGTCGGTAGATTTCTTGTTGGATAACAGTAAATGAATGAATGTACTCGTTCTAACACAGACGAGCTTCCACATAGTAAGTTTATTGCAAATTCATGCCCGAGGGCCAATTGCAAGAACATGATAACAAAATAAACAGTAAAACTGATAATAAGTAATGCTAATACTACTTTGGATATAGTTATTGTTAGTCTGATTTCTTTTCTGTGTGCAGTAGAGTATGAAATGGACGACATTTTGCGAGATGTATGAATTGTGAGGTGTGAATAGAAATGCGGTTTTTTTTTTATCGACCCGGACGGTTAGGCTAGGGAACATTTTTCAAATAACTTATCTCTTCTGGTGCTATAATGAGGGCAATGACAAATGAAGTACATGTACATTTCATCCTCCACTGCATTTTCTGTACAATATTTACATATTCTGTATTTATATGCATGCTAACATACTAACCTGTTTGCTGCTCTGACCCATCCTGACCGTCCATGTCCCTCGGTGCGTCACCGCTGTTCAGCATCTGTTGTTCCAGACTCTCCGTCAGAGAAGCGCCGCTGAGGACACCTTGGATCAACTCCCTCTCTTCCTCATTCACGGAGTCACTCAGCGGTGACAGTGGCTCCTGTTTTATCACCAAGTTGATGTCTCTCTGTGTCACAAAATCCGGCGGTTGTTCCTGGTATGGATACTGTTCTGCTGATGTTTGGTGTTCACGCGGGCCAACTCTAGCGTTGTCCACTTGGTGGCGAGCTGGTATGGCTTCTTGAGGCTCCATTGGTACAGGCTCTCTCTGTAGACGCCTGTCGGTGTTCTCCACTTGTGCCTCATGAGAAGACGGTGATGACTGGTGTTCGTGGCTCGTGCGTCCAGGATTAACGTGTGCAGGAGGGAATGTTAGGGGCGAAACGGCGGCAAACGCACGCGGGACCCAGACAGTGGAGCCATTGATCTGCACCAGCTTTTGGAACCCAGGCATGACTTCATGAGACGTTGACGCTGCAGTAGAAGGCGGGCCATCGTGAGCCTGTGTCCCAGGACTGCTGTTACTCTGCCTGTGGTAAGGGAAAGGTGCGGATGGCCCGCAAACCTCCGACGTTTGGTGGTTGAGTCGTCTCTCAGAGGAAGTACTAGGTTCGGAAGACATGGGTTCGATATGAGCCTCTGTTGCTGGTCGGTAGGAAGAAACGGCAGGTCGTAAACCTAGGGGTTTGTCGCTTGTCTGTAGTTGTCTTTCCGTGGGTCCTGCTGGTATCGAAGAGGAATGTAATGATTCCATTGAAGTTTTGCCGCTATGTTCTTCACGTTTCTTGTAAATTACTGCTTCCCTCAAAACTGACGACAACACGCTGTCTTGAGCATTGCTGTCCATAGCCTCATGACTAGGCTCTTTTGGGTCGGAAGCGGCAATGTCTGGCGGCATTCCTTCTTGCGAATTTTTGTCACCCTTTTCCGTATATTTTGAGTCAGGATGGTTGCTGTCGTCGACTCTATTCCCAGAAAACCCCCGTAGACGTGCTTCCTCTAGCCTTTGAAACGACGCAACGACTTCTTTTGATATCGTTAAATGTTTCCGCCCGCTTTCTCTTTCTGTTTGGTAAGAGTGGACAGTGTCGAGTGGCATTTTAGATGTGGTACCAGTAGCCACAGCGTACGGGGATGTGTCCCTTTCTTTTTGCTGCCACATTCCCGGTAAGGCGAACTGCTGTAGAGAATGGTTCCGTGTCTGTGATGTTCTTTCTCCTACCTGTAAAGAGGCACCTGTTTCTTGTAGTGATGTGGGTAAAGATGACTGACTTGTTATGGCGTCGCCGTGCTCTGGTTGTATTGCTGTCGGTGCCGCTTCCTCCTCGGGTACGGTCGACTTTGCTTGCTCTTGTTTTGTAGGTGCTCTGTTATCTTCCTGTTGCTTGGGGGATGTCGCGATTATTTTCTGCGATTGTGAAGCTCTTGGTTGCTGTTTTGCTGGATCCACACCAATATCCAATTGCTGAGGGTGTCGGCGAGTGGCTAACATGTTTAGCGTCACCGGTAACGAGGGCATTTCTGAGCTAGAGAAGTCACTTGCAGTCGCCGCACTATTTTCTGATGACTCCGGAGGGGTACTGGACTTGCTGCCGGGCAGATCTTTTTCACTTTTCCCCTCACCTTCGATACCCTTCTTCCATGACTCGGCCGAGCCGTTCTTAAGTGAAGACACCCATTCAATATGTAAGGGTGAACCTTTGGGTTGTGTCCAGTACGGTAGGATTTGGTCTTCTGAAGGCGGGTCTATGGACAGGTCGCGATATTGTACGATCTGTGTTTCTGGTGGTCTACGGAAGGGTGACGTTTGTTCCTCTGACACAGGAGGTTCAGTAGGGCCATTCGCGTGACGTACCGTTAAGTCACTGCTTGCACGACGTTTTGGTCGTTTAGAAGAAACCGCTTCATCTGTGGCTCCTGCAGTTTGGGACTCGCACGCGTCTTTTCGCTTTCCTTTGGGTTTCTTTTGCACCGATGCAGTGGAGACATTCAAAGGGCTGTCGTCTGTCTCTGTCTGCTTCTGGTTGGATGATAATAAGTGTTGCGGCACGGGTAGCGTTGGAAGGTTGTGTGTGATTTTCTTCCGGCTGTAGCCTTTTCTAGACCTCCAGCGGATATATCTTTCAATGGACACCAACCGGCCGGGGTCGTCGGTGTTTTCTTCTACTTGATCCCCGTGTCCAGACGGCGTCCGCTCCGGAACCGTACATGTAGTGGATGTAGTGGTATTGCTATTTAGCGACTGTCCTGTGTCCGGAGACGCTGACGCATCCGACGAAAGTGTGGCGTTGGTCTCCTCTTGTTCCCGACAGCGATGCTCTCCATCTTGAGACACCGGCGATGTGGAAAGATGACGCCCGTATTCCTCCCGACTTTCCAGCGGCGACGGGTTCTCGTCTTCCGACGAAGGCCTCTCGAGTATATGCCTGATTTCGGCCGCTTGCGGCATGCTGTCATGAGACATCTCCTGACGATGGGTGTTGTATCGAGTGTATGCTTGTTCGTGGTTCCACTGTTCCTCGTCTGTACGCCTTGCTGTGGTGATGTGGTATCTTTCCCTTGTATCTCTTCGCTCTGGGTCTTTCAAATCTTTACTATTTACCGACCGCATGCTTAAATCTGTGGGCGCGTCCGTGTGTGTGTCTCCTTCTGAATACGACTCTATGTACATTTCTATAGGCGCTCCCCGCCTTCCGACTAGCTCACCGGCCCAAGGCCATGGGTCATACATGCCGCCGTACCCTACTCTCCGGGTCACGTGGCACGTGACGTCAGGGGTGGTGGGCCCGGATTGGCTGTCGAGCTGCTGGTATTCCCGTACCATGACGTCATGAAGCGTCGTGATCAGGACCTGCCGGTAGTCGATGTCCCTCCGGCCCAGTTCTGTCAGGACCTCTTCCATGTACAGCCTGAGAAAGGTAAGTTTTTGTTTAATTCAACGTTTAAACATAGTGGGGTCGTGAGGCGTAACGACACAGAGTTCGGCTCGGAACCAAGAGGAATCCTGCCATGCTATCGACTTTGTGCCCTTGGCCATGGGAAAGACACTTTACACGAATTGCACTTTACGTGAAAACGAGCTATGTCTGTTGACCGTTCATGCGTACGTCTGCATTGGTGGCGGCATAAAAATAAGTCGAAAAAACATTGAATGAGCCGTCGCCATGTCTTGTAATGAATGTTGAATTTTGAAAAAAAAAAAATTTAAACAAAACAATACATAGTGGCGACGCACTCAAGTAAAATAGGTCAGTTATATTAACGTCACAACTGGATATGAAATAATAATTACATCATGAGGCAAAAATATGAAAAGGGGGACGTCCGATGTACAGGTGATCATTTGAGTAAGCACTATCATATAAATTGTTAATATCTAAATTTCAATATCAAATTTACAAGTCTACAAAAAGAGGGGTATACCATTCTGGGTGTAACTAGTAATGCTTAGCACCTCGTTTAACCCTCTTTTCAATTACAACACAAAGGTAACTCATCGAAGCTTCTTTGAAACAAGCAAACAAACAAACAAACAAACAAACACATAAACAGTAACCTGGGAAGGACGGCCAGGGTGACATCCTTGCTGAGACCGAACACCTGAGGTCGACCTGGCGGCATCTTGACAATCAACCTGTGACGTGCAAGACAGAAATTTAAGTTGAACATTAAGAATATATAATCCAAACACGAGAAGACCACTTTTAAAACACTTACATATGTCAGAGAAATTAAAGTGAATTGAAGCTTTCAATGAAAATAAATAGTAAGAAAATCTAACACCATGTTTTATTGTGGTGCACCTTGGATTATATCGTATATTGCCTCATTTGAATTGACACTCTTCATGGACACAAAATTGGCTATTTCAGTCAATTGATATTACTCATAATTATAGTTATTATAATAATTGTGGTAACAAAACTCCTACATTTCTAGGTAGAACGCGGCTATCTGCTTGGGGCTGAAAACAGGGATAGTCCGTTTTGTGTTATAAACGCATACTCTAGTAGCTATACGAATGTAGTCCATTTGGGTATCACATATAACCTACATATAGCATACATATCTGACATATATGAAATTGCCAAATATTCTCCAAAATGTGAACCTACGTTACAAATGTAAATCATGACTACCAGTTCTCAGTCAAACTCAAGTTGCGTGAAAGTCAATTCTTTCTTAGCGCTACTCTATAACGGAAGTGGAGATCATCAAATACGTCAACACACAAAGCAGGGGTGTCAGCAGTTTCGTCATGCATGCACAGTTTCAAACAATGTTACGCTTGATGTGAGGTATTCGGGGCTTTGATGTAAGAAGCCGCTGGCTTGTACGCTCTTGCAATTGCTATTATTAGACTAGTGTGTTACACTTAATCATATATTGTAATGTAGCTTTTGTTTTTAGATTCTAACATATGAAAGAAAATACAATGTGCTGTCCATATATATACGTGACATTATTCAATGGTACCTCTAAATAGAACATAAGACACATATGCATGTACGTAGTACACATACATGAAAATGCACAAACACGTTTCTATGCAGATGTACTGTAGCTCTTGTTTTTAGATTTTACACATGTAACACACAAAAGAAAATACACTCAAGTGATACTCATATATCATGATCAGTGGCACCTCTAAACAGAACGTATATAAGACACATGTATACGCATATACTGTACGTAGCACACATACAAGATAAGTCAAACACACAATGCTCATACAAGCATCTATGCAGCTACAGAATCTTCGCCAACACAGTTTGAGCCCCCAAAACTCTACCATGCATAAAACTGGGTTTGCTGTTTAACGGTATACTATAGGAGCGTGGAATACATAATAGGTGGCAAATAAACAACGTGACGACGCAAGTCAAGCAGTAATAATATACAACCTTACACAAGGTCTTCTGACTACTAGCAGCCCGTTTCTATCCCACGCACGACCAATTTCTATAACAATTCTGTTTGAAGACTCTAAAACAACCATTTGGTTCACTACTGGGTTGTGAGGCTAAGTCAGTAAGTGCACCTACCCTATAACACTGTGAATACGTTCCCTAACATTTGTATAGCCCTTTAAAATAAGCCTGTGGTTCGAGGCTATCATCACCGAACTTGGTAGCTTCAAATGCCATATATTCATCCAACAGATGTCAAATGCTAGCTTGGCATCGGAATTAGGACTACAGCAACAAAATATCCCAACCGCCCCTGGGTATTGGCTACACTTTTCATTGACCCCCCCCCCCCACACACACACAGCCCTTAAGAGAATTCCACAACTTACCTTACCTTCAAAATCGTACAATGCGTCTTTTTGTGAAACTGTAGGACTTGTACATGGAAGAAACTCGCCACAAGAGAGACTGTGTAGAGCTAAATATAAGACAGTGACTCATTCTTGCGTGGGCAGAACATCCGGCCGCAACGGAGATCACTTCTACATGCCCGTACGTAAAGCTGTACTAACACTGACCAACATTCCTAGAAAACATTCACAGAAATCACTACATCGCATACCAGCGCTACGGGAAACTGCCAGGTTTCTCACCTTTCTCACGTCCCGTTCAAGATGGTCTGAGAAATGTCGCGACTTTCTCAAGAGCCTGGAAATGTTCTTAAGACCTCCTCACGTCACATTCTGGATCTGGCGGAGCGGAGAGAGTTCGCCCGGAAGGAACATGGAGGTTGTCTAAGAATTCCGGTCAAAGGTCAGCGAACCGCAGTAACCCGATACTCCTAGTGTCGCAGTATGTCAGTTTATAGACTTCAGGACGGCGTTTTGCTTCAGCATTTTACAGTGCTAGTGCCACGTTTTCAAGCTGCAAGCGTGTACGAGAAGTAAAAAAAAGGTTCTGGTAAAAAAAAACGGCCCATAGCACGTTCCGCTACAGTGAGTTACCGCTTTCCCTAGGAAGACCTATTAGTGGGGCACAGGTAAAACCGGTTCGGTATTCCGTTGTGCAAGTGCCTTGCAGCCTGGGGCTAGTGTATATATGCAGGAGTAGCATTTAAATGAAATAGATATACTGCCTGGTGCATTTTTGAGAACTAAAATCTTGAAAATGTTAACAATCTTGGTTAGCCGCGAATACACGTATCGTACTGGGATTGTGGACATACACGTATATGGTTGATTATCGTTTTATTTCCTACCTGTTCACGCATTGGTAAGGTACCTTAGCCATATTATTATCTAGGTCATTCCTTCCTTACTTAATTGTCTGTTTTTTGTTTTGGTTACCCTACCGCCCACCCATGTTCGCCCCCCTCCCCTCTGTACTACGCATTGTACAAACCCTGCATGGTATAGTAGATAGTACATCCATTTATTTATTTATTCATTTATTCATTTATTCATTTATTCATTTATTCATTTATTCATTTATTCATTTATTCATTTATTCATTTATTCATTTATTCATTTATTCATTTATTCATTTATCCATCTATCTATTTTCATTTATTTATTTATTTATTTATTTATTTATTTATTTATTTATTTATTTATTTATTTATTTATTTATTTATTTATTTATTTATTTATTTATTTATTTATTTATTTATTTATTTATTTATTTCAGCCAGGTAGGAAGGTCTCTTCCCGTTGAGGCTGCTCGTCGACGTCACTAAACCGTATCATCATTTCCGGCCTGTGCGGACATATTCTATCTATACTGGATAGATTTAAGCCTTATAAAGGAACTGTAGTTATCAGTAGTTGCCATACCGTGATGGTCGTTGTTGACTTTACACGATAAAATACAGGACATTTTACCACCTTCATCGAGAATAAATGAATTTATTTCAATACGTTACAAATTTGTATTCACCTCCATATATTGTACATCTTGTCAAAATTATGAAGCCAGTGTATATTAGCTCTCAATTGGTGCAGAGGCACACATCTGAAACAAACATTATGCTAACGTTATACATACTGTCCATGAATACTTAACCATCAAAACCACAAAATGTATTCAATATTATTTTTCTTGATACTAGTATATACAAATGCAACAAATACATAATTACATCCATCTTGCAGTATTACGACCATGATTCCATTTCAAGATAGGTAAACTATGAAAATGACACCCTGGATGGCAAATCTGATGTTTGTTTTGTCACCATTTCGCAAGTTCTCGAATTCTCTTGACTACAACGCTTTCCCTACAATGCATTCTAGCGGTCCTCAAAACCTATAGATAAATGTGTTTGTTGAGCTACTCTCATCTACCACTATCTATTGTGGTATATATTTTTTTTCTTTTTAATGACAATGACAATGACAATGAAGTTAATACTATGTTGTTGCAAACATGCTAATCGTCATAGGTGCGATATATAAGAAAATAGAAAGATTACCTCTTGGTTTGTGGTCCGATGATATAGGCTTTTAAATTCTTCTGATACATTTGATTTTTGACAGGTAAAAGTCTGCATACATGTATGTCATATGTCTAATTAATATCGTAGTGAAAATCGCTTGTTTTTGACGGCCACCTCGGTAACATCACTAGTACTGATTAGCCCCGAAAAGTCTTGCAACGCTGCGACGAACCTCCTTCAGACGGAACCCGTAGATAACGGGGTTGACTGCAGAGTTCAGACTGATGAAAATCAACGTTTTATACACGGAAACCATGTCCTTAGACATCTGGGCCACTTTGATGAAGAACGGCATCCATCCAACCAGGAACACGACGGTGATGATGATGATGGTAATGGCGGATTTCCTGTTGACGCTGGGCTGGGCGCCTACCGCGGCTTCTTGTGCAGCGATGGCGTTGACGTGCTTCCACAAACACCAGAAGATCCCCAGGTTGAAGAGAAAGATCACGGCCATCGGGATGAAAACAAACACCAGGACCGCGATCACGTAGCTTCGGGACAACCCTGCACCTAGCGGGACACACTCTTCGTCAAAACGCCCCGTACAGTGCGAGTCAAGGTGGGGCAGTATCGCCATCAGGAGTGACCAGACCCACACGACAACGATGACGACCTTGCACCTGGCGTTGGTGACGTTGTTGACGTAGCTCATCCCGTGCACGATGAACCAGTAGCGCTCAGCGGTCAGGGACATGACACCGTAGGCGGAGGACATCCCCGAGAATAGGAGCGAAGACAGGCGGAGGTTTAGCATGAAATTTGAGGGGAGGGTCTCAGTTTGTATAACGTATACTTGTGAACTACATCCCACTATGAACACCATACCGGCTAGGACGTCTCCTGCTGCAAGGTTAGCCATGAGCATATAAGCGGGCGTGTGGAGCTGCTCATACTTGACGATGGCCGCTAGCGGGAGGCTGTTTGCCACGACAGACCACACGCCCAGACATATAGTGATGCCTGCGTATAACATAAGATATCTATCGGCAGAGACATACTTCTGAAGAGGAAAGGGCGTTGGGAGCTCCTTCTGCAGACATTCGCGAACGTTTGAATCGACACACTCTCCTAAAACTGACCTGTTGGCGGTGGCAAAAGAACAGTTCTCAGAAGAATCATTTCGTAGTGTTGAGTTGGGATACGAACCCGTTTCCTCGCCAAGCTGGCTTGTAGCGTTCAAATCCGGCCCAGAGGCTACGTTGTTCTCGGCGCAGCGAATTGGGAAGAGAACTAAAAGCACCACGACAAAATGCATGTAGCCCCTGAACATCATCATTCCGCTGGGAGTTACGCGGTACTTCGTGGGCGCTAAACTACCCCGGCCGACTGGATCGTGTTTCGCGGGTAAAGTTGCTTGGCGGGCCGAGAAGAAACCGGCCGCGACCCGCTGTACGTACCGTCTGGCTTCCAATGTACCTCTCTGCAGCAAACTACCGCTTGAGTCCGTGTGAATGGTAACTTATGCAATATAATAACACCCACGCTGAAGGCCTTTACTTCAGACAAATCACATTCCTGATTACGTCTTTTCTTGCCCAGCTGATCCCACTGCGGTATCTCTTTTTCCCGTTCCTCTGACTCATGCTGTAAATTAAATGGGCATTATGAAATTTTGCGCAACCTGCCATCTGTCTGTGTCATGTTTGTAATCTGTGTTTTAATTAGACTAAGAGTACTCCAAAAGAACCGTGGTTTCCGCTTTTTACTTTTTTGTCATCTCTCGTTAGACGATGTTAAAAGTACATGTAATTGCCATCAAACTGATATTGCATGGTCTTTTATGTGTAGAGGTCTCAGGTGCAGTAAAACAGGGAAGTTCCTATATTGGAACTACTAAGGACGTTCAATCATGATATAAAGGTCCTTGGCCTTACACACTACAGGCCTGCAGTCACTCAACAGCCGACGCACGGACTTGTGCCGGAAATTAGCTTCTAAAAACAACTCTGATCTCCTCCCACCGAGAGTAGCCTCCTTCGCAGTCTTGTTGGGCGTCGGCGTTATTTTTTCTCTGAGCGACGCGAGTAATATGCGGCCGCG